ATAAAGCTATAAAAAAGCTTATAAATATAGTTATTCTAGATAATAAAAGTATTTGCCTTATATATTAGAAATTATTTCTAAATAAGTATTAATTAATAATAAATATTATATACTAATTAAAAAAGGTTTATTTTAATATAAATAGCTAATTAAGGCTATTTATAGTTTCCGGATTATTATTAAGAAAAAAGCTAATAAAGAAATAGAATAAAGCAAGATATTACTAATATTAGTAAATAGTTTCTTTTTTATAGTAAATATAATAACTATAAATAATAAGCTATTAGAAAATATTATAAAGAATTTTATTATTAATAAATACTTAAAAAGATTTATAATTATTTAATAAAGAAACTAAAGAAATTATTATTTGAAATTATTAATAAAATTAAAATAATACTTTTAAACTATTATATTAATTAATAAATAAAGCTTATATATTTAAGAACTTTAGAAAATATATATAAATAATTATATATTTCTAAAAAAAAACGCTTATTAATAATTATATAATATATATATAATATATATATATACTAAAATAGAAAATTTATATAAGCCTCTTTATTATAGTATTTATTTCCTATAAATAATAAATGAAATCGAGAATTATATTAGCTATTACTTTATTTATAAAATATTAAAGCTAATATAATATAAATTATTTAATAACTTAAATCTAGTATAAATATCTTTTATATTTCTAGCTATAATTTATATTAATTTTATTATAGAATTATTAGTATTTAAAAGTAGTTTTAATATATTTCTTATTATAATAAACAAGTTTATAAAATTTATTTATTTAATATTCGGAAAGTTAATATAAATAATAGAAAAATAAATATAAGTATATTTTATATAAATATATTATTTCTAGAAAGTACTAGTAATAATAATCTCTAATAAAAACAAGAAATTTATAGGCAGTTTCTAATAAGAACTTTTCTATTTATTAAAAATATAGCTAGCTATAATAGCTATATATTATTTATTAGTAAATAAGTAATTTGCGAAATCTAATTAGTAAATAGAAATTATTATTTAATATTTATTATTAAATACTAATAAGAATATAAACTAGAAAGACTAGTTACTAAAAGCAAAATTTGCCTTTAATTATTTATTATATTTTATTAATAGCAAGAATCCTATAGAACTTCTTTATAAAATACTAATAAGATTAGTTTTTTCTTTTTATTTTAAGATATTAGAAGCAGAAAAATTTATCTAGTATTAAATAAAGATTTGCCAGAAAGTTTCTAATATAATTAAAATAGCCCAGGCTAAAATAAAACTAAATTTTAATACTTATTACTAGCTAATAAATATACTAGTTAGTAATAAGATCTATTTAAAAACAATATATAGAATTAGAAAATCCGGATACTAAATCTCAAAAGCAAATATTTTCTCTTTAATTAAATAGAAATTCTTTTTAATACTAAAATTTTTTAGAAAGCTAGCCTATAAACTAGAATTACTAGTAAATTTAAGTTATATATATTTAGTAATTTATTTAGAATTCAAAATATTAGATACTAATAAATATAATTATAAGCTAATATATTAGCTAATATACTTTAGGGAAAATAATTATTATAAAGTTAATAAGATTCTTAATATAAAATACTAGAAAAAAAGAAGTAATATTTAATAAAATAAAAGAATTATAATAAATAGAATTAAGAACTAGTAGAAAATTTAATAGAAATAATACTTAAGTTTTTTTATTAAATAAAAATAAATTAATATAATTTATAAAATTAAAAGCCTTATTATTTATTTTTATTACTATTTATTAATATTAATTTATATAAGTTTTCTCATTTATTTTCTAGTAATTTTATTTATAATATATTTATATTTATAATATATTTATATTTGTAATATATTTATATTTATAATATATTTATATTTGTAATATATTTATATTTATAATATATTCATATATATATATATTATTAATAGTATATAATAGTAATTTATAAACCAGAAATATAATAAGAAATTTGAGAATACTAAAACTATAATTATTATAAGCTAATAATAAAAGTATATATTTTAATAATAATTCTAATTTATAATAATAAATAATAAAGATAGGTTTTAATTTCTTTTAATTATTAATTATAATTAATAAGATTTCAAGATATTATTTCTTATTTAATTAAATTATTACTTAAATTAGTATTATATAACTAAAGATTATTACTGGTAATTAGTATTATAATTTTGGCCTATAAATTTTACTAATAATAAAGAAATAAATATATCCAGAATATATTATATAAATATTAAATTAGTAATACTTATAGCTAATAAAATATATATTTATTTAATAATACTTTATTATTACTCGGCCTAAAAAATGATTAGAAATAGAAGATAATAGAGATATAACTTATAAAAGACTATTATTTATAGTTAAAAATTATTCTAAATACCAAGAATATTAATAATAGCTAGAAATAATACTATAAGCTAGTAAAGAAAATTAATAAAATTAATAAAAATAATAAGAATATATTAATAAGTTCTTTAGAAAATAGTTCGAAAAACAAGAATATATTTTAGTTATTAGAAATAAATATAATTATACTTTTCTAGCTATTAAAAGCAAGTATAATAATATATTTCTAGCTATTAAAGGCAAGAATAATAATATATCTCTAGTATTTAAAACCGAGTCTGGTACTATATTTCTATTAATCTCGAAATATAATATATCCTTAATTATATTATTAAATAAGAATATAAAGCCTTTCTTATTACTAGTTTAAAAAAATAAAGTAATATTCTAAATAATTAGAAACTTAATTATATAGGTTACTATATTAGAGAAATAAATCCAGTTTTTAGAGAATATTTGCAATTTCCTAATAAAAGAGAGAAACTTTATAATCTCTCTAGTTAATAATATTTATTTTTCCAGAAAAAGATTAGTTATAATAGGAAACTCCTTACTAGTAGCTAGTAAACCAGATATAAAAGCTTTTAAGGAGGTATTTAAAAAGAAAGTAATAGCTATTAATAATTCTATTATTACTTTGGATTCTCTTCCGGTACTATAATTAGTATTCTTTAGTAATAAGCAATTTTTTACTATATTTAATACCTGAAATATTAATCTTTAAGTTAGAACTACTAAAGAGCTTATTAATAAGCCCGCTAATAATAATACTAATATTAATAAACCTAGTAATAATAATATTTCTTCTTATTATTTCAAGAACTATAAGCTAATACTAAAACTACTTATTCCTGAAGCTGTAATTCGGAAACCCAGTTCTCTATTAGTAAAGAAAAAAAGTAATAAGAACAGAAGTACTAATAAGAAAGAACTCTAAGGTTATAGTAATTATAAGTAGGCATTTTGTTATTATTATAGTTTTACTTTCTTTCGTTTTTCTTTTTTTTTCAGTTATTACTAATAGGGCATATATTTCTTAATAAGTTTTCCTTATTTCTTTTTCTTTTGCTAATAAGAACATTAGTATATTCGGGAAGGGGTATTATTACATTAGTAGCCAATATAAGAGAAGGGCTACTTAGCTAGCTACTTCTCATAAAAGAATAGATTATCTTTTTGCCCCTCTCTTGGCTTTCGCTATCCGTAAGAATTAGGGAGGTCTTTCCCGTAATAGTGTGGCACCTTCTAGTGAGGAATATATAGCCATTCTCCAAATGGGCTATGCCAGTAGGGAATATATGGCCATTCCCAAATGGGATATGCCAGTGAGAAATATGGCCATTCTTCAAATAAGCTATACCAGTGGGAAATATGGCTATTTGCGTGTGGTACCTCCTAATAGGGAATATAACCATTCCCAAATGGGTTATGCCAGTGAGAAATATAGCTATTCGCCTGTGGCACGTGCTGGTCACGTGCTGGTCACGTGCACCGGCAGAAAAAAACGCTACCCCCTGGCAGCGTTTATTTTCGGAATGAATAAATGACGTGAAAATGATGTCTGTTTCCATTGAGATGACGTTTATATTTCAGTGAAATTGGAAGCTTATTAAAGTCGATGCGGAGGTGGCACCGAGGTAGGGCATAGCAGAGACTTCGACTCCATCTCTAACTGCGGCGTCTACTGTTTCTGCAATCTGGCAGGACAAGCAAGTATCTGCTGGGCGAGCGCGAGGGTTCAAGCTGGAGTGGCCGTTGCGAACCAATGAGGTAGCTACTGATCTGGATGGGATTTAATCAACAACTTTCAACGCAATGATCAATATGGCCAGGAAGATAACTGTGGGGCGGGGAAGAACTTTTGTGGTCGCGGAACGAAAGGGAAGTGATGCTTCAAGTGGATGATGATGGCTGGCATTTGGGTCTATAAGCTCTGGACTTTGTGATCTGGTTTGGTTTATATTTCTCTATTAAACATGGATATGCCTTCTTTTCTCCTTTCTCGGCGGCTCGGATGAGTGGTTGGCACGTCGGCACTCGTTTCGTCTGATATTGACCGCAAAATTCTAGATGTCTGATAATCCCAATTGAAATAATGTTCATTCTAAATTCCAATCTCATAATGCAACTCGATGTTTGAAGACAGAATTTACTAGAGACCTTCCTTCTCTAGATGTACATCGACATGCATTGGCTGCAGGCCTGCAGACCCTAGCCCTGCTGTCCCATGCCCCTTTTAATTCCTCGCTTAGCGCCAGCCGAGCCGAAAGAAGCCCCTTTTCCCTCCCCTCCCCGTAACCGACTAGAATTTAAGGTTTGTCGTTAGAAAGAGGTATTCGCCTCACCGATTCAGGTGCTTAGCGCTCCATCGTCACGATCCTGAGAAATAGTTGTTTTCGAAGTGCGATGAACGCAGCTTCGATCGGCTGTCAAAACCCCTTCGAAAGGTTTGACGTCATGACGTGCATTTCGTGAGACCTATCACCCCGCTCGTCTACCTTCCCATCCAACACCCTCCTCACGTCACCTCCTCAAATCATTCCATTTCACACAACACCTTCAACAGTTTCACGAAACAGCTTCCACAATGTCCCCCTCAGCCACAGAAAAGTCCCAAGCCAAATCTTCCGGCCATAAATCCGAAGACGTAGACGGCTCGCACAACGAGTGGAAATTCCGAGCTCCGTACAAAGTGCACACAAACGAAGACGGTTTCAACGCACTATATGAAGCGAGTTGTCACTGCGGGAGGGTGAAGTACCAGCTCAGTAGAGAGAAGCCGCTTGATGCGAAGTATTGCCATTGTACAACTTGTCAGGTGTTGCACGGTTCGTTACATTCCTTCATATATCTCCGCCGACATACGATGGCTGTTTCTTGAGGCTACAAGGTTATGAGGGTGAAGGCGAGGAAGTGGTGATTGACAATATAATGCAGGCGCACCGTTCCAATGGGCAGCTATCTTCAAGAAAGAAGACATCAACTTCACGCACGGTCATCACGAATTAGGCTGGTACGAAAGCGGCGAGAAAACAACGAGACATAAGCTTCCTTGCAAGGTATCTTGTGTGTATTGCAGAACGCCGATTATGGACGAGGGGAGGAACATGATCTTGCTCTTCCCGGGGATGATTAAGTGGAAGAGTGAAGCGGAGAGGAAGAAGTTTGCGCCTTCGTGAGTTTGATGATTCTTTTCCACAAAGAGGGGAAGGGAGGTTGATGTGCTACAGGTGCCACATGTTTTATGAGCAGAGGGTTGTGGATATTCCGGATGGATTGCCGAAGTGGAGTGGGATGTCGGGGAAGAGTGACTTGATTGGGGATAGTCAAGCGGAGGATGTGAAGAAGCGGAAGAGGGAGATTGAAGAGGAGAATGGGGAGAATGCAGAGAAGGATGAGAAGAAAAGTAAGAGCTCGAAGAAGGGGTAATAAATTTTGTACAGGGGGTTGTAAGATATTACTGGACTTCAATTATAAAAACGTATGATGTTTGCAGAAGGGTTCTAAATCTTTGTGTCTATTTCGTGCAGCAAAGGGTTCCGACGCATGCCACTAAATAAACTCGTTACCACCTTCCCCAGGGTGTGTGGCTGTTCCTACGCAAGCTTCCCCAACTACGCCGTATCGGTGGTTGGTGCGGGAGCAAATGAGCGTTGACAGTTCGTTCGCGCCCTCGCGCGATCGTGGGGGTGACATTAACACTTAAAAGCGCCAAGTGCTCAGATCAACAGTCATGTGAGACCACAACAAGACTGTCTTGGTTCTCTTTGACACCACGTCCTGTTAATGGTTCTGGGTCCTGTTCGAGACCAAGATATATTCTCGATCCATTGCTCAATCATTCTATTATCGACCCTCCTTTTGAAGGATCAATGTTTTGCTATCTCCAACATTATACCCAACAACACGGGTGAGGTATTCGAGTCTACCTAATATCAGCATCACGAGTTTATCCCACAACTACGGCTGAACTTACTTTGCTTCATGTGAAAACTTCTCCTTCCTCTCTGCGAGACGTCTTTGACATTCGTCCCATTTCATCGCACGTCTTTTCGGCGAAATAGTCTTGATAACGATCTGAAAAGACCCGGTCACTGGCCTGTGATCCGAGACTCGAACTTCGTGCCGTTGGTAATCCAACTGCTTGATACGGTCCCGACCCCGATACATTAATCGATCACACCATGCAGGCGCCCGCTTCTTCTCGCTGCTATCATAATTATCCGTCCCCACATCATACTTGTAGGTAGGCGCAAAGGTGATTGGTAACTCGTGGAAGGCTCGTAGCTTGAACCACGGATTTCTCCTTTTGGATACGAGCAATTGATCTCTTTCAAGTAGCTTGCCGAAGTTCTTGTTCTTGATGGCAGTGACGACCGTGTCTCTCCCCATGGCGTCGATGCGATAATTCAAGTCTCCGTTCAAGATACATATCTCATGATCAAGGATCATGGTTCCATCACCACCCCCAATATAGCTGTCTTGTCGGACACTATGATCTCTTTCTGCAGGCAATATCGAGCTCTCCAGAATCGTGGATATGTCTGTGTTTCGATCCTTTGTGTGATTTTGGCCTGCAGCAAGATGGCAATTAATGAAGCACAGGGAGGTGTCATCTAAAACAAATCGGATTACCAAAGCACCCTGTTCTGGTTAGCGCTGCCTTAACCAAGTTCAAAGTATAATCACCAACCTTGTTGCCATGGAGACCATTCATTCCTCTTTTCACCTCAGCTGCACTGATATTTCGTATCCGATCTCGTAACGACGCTTTAACAAATACGCAAGTGAAGAGTCCAACTAAACTTGCAGTGTGTAGAAGATGGTATAGCTCGTTGCTGGGCATCCAATCATCCAAGGATCGTGTCAGGAAATCTCTCCAGTCACGATATTGGTGGCTCATGTGCTCTTGCTCCGAAGGATCCTTTTTCTTGGATTTGAAAAAACTTCCTGGCAAAGAGTCAGCATTGCATCCCGACAAAGTAAAATAAAACGTACTTGCTGTCGTCTTCTTATCTTCGAGATCAACAAGCTCTTGAAATCCAAAAACAAGTATATCGGGTGAGTTGCTAGCTTGAAGGAGGTTAGGGAAAAAGGTGTTATCTTGATCTTTCTGCTGGAGATGCCATGGCGTCGTTGCACCAGCGTTCCAAGTCATCACAAGAGCCTTGATATTGCTGAGGTCGCAGAATTCCTTTTCCTGAGATTGCATTTGGGTTTCTATGGGAGCATTAGCATGTCAAACATTCGAAAACAACGCACTCATACCTATCCAATCGTCCTGCAGCAAGCCATCCCAGACTCGCAACATGTTATCTTGGCCAAGAGAGATGACCTGCGTTCGGTCGAGGCTCCAACAACTACTCGGATCGGCATGCAATTTAATCACAGGATCTTTATGAGCATGCCAATCCTTCTTCACAACCCACGGTGTTTGAGTTGTGTCGTAGACATAGACCATGCCCGTGCTGAATCCTGCCCAGATATTCCCACCAACACCGATAAGGGAAGAGATTCTGTACATGCTCGCATTGACCACTCCGACACATGCATACTCCTTCCGGGAGTATATGGTGACCTTCCCATCCATATGACCAAAGTACACTCTATCAGGCTGAGAGCTAGTAGTGGTTCCCGAGGTAATATCACCGGCACTAGGTTGAGACATGGGGACATCCACTACATTGAATCGAGCCGAACCGTCGAGCGTTGGATGGTACACCCGTATATCTTTGCCTGCAGCATGCCATAATTCATCACCAACGATCATAGAGAAGGTATGGGTCTTCCAAAGTCGGTTTGCGTTGGTGGATTTTGTCAGTGTCGGGTTGCCTGTTTCATCGGGTCCCCACAAGGTGAAGCCTCCCGTATCATCAAGAGTCCAGATTTCATTCAAGTGTCTGTACATCTTGACGATCTCTCGACGTGTATGCGCATTGTTGTTTGTCGATAGAACATCTGCAGTGTTGACATCGATTTCTGCAAGTTCGCCAGTGTTGCTGCCAATCCACAATCGAAGGCCTTCGTCCTCGACATTTGAAGCTGGCTTGAAGATGATCGAGAGGATTCTGGTGGGCTCCATATGAGGTAAACTCATGACTATATCACCGGTGAGGACACTAAAGACTTTGGTGACATGGCCAGATGTGACAACGAACTCTCCACAAACATCAAGAACTCTTGTGTCATACTTGGTAGATATTTCGTGTGCACCTTGCTTGAAGTGTGGCGGACGCCGGTTCGAATGAGATGGATCTGGATAATCTCCCACAACGGGCTGTATGGTTGGTTGTGCGGCTCTAACAGTGGTTGTAGGCGGCGGATCAAATTGTGAACTTCCATCAAGGCGAGGCATGGTCGAGGTGATGGGAGCTCGAAATTCGGCTGGAGTTCTATCAGAAGTTCTATCAACAGTCATTGACCTCCCATGGGACCTTGCAGGTGGCTGTAGTTGGTTGATAGGCGTTGAGAAGACTCGTTTAGGGGGAGGGGCAAATGTGGGTCCCACGCTCTCTGTGGTAGCCACAACCGGTCTAGATCTGTCCATAGAGGGACGCGGTGGGGGCGGCATCATTGAGGCCTGAATAGCCCTAGGGGTTGGTTTTGTCGTTTCCGATATGGTCGGGGGTCTAGATGGTAGAGCAGGTCTCTGTTCTTCTTCGGATACAATAGCCCGACCAATGCCATTCGTCTCCTGGTTCCTCCTCCTGCTGACCAGGGAATGGTGCACTGGAGGTGGCTCAAATGTTGTCACCGTCATGACATTATTCTCAGCGGCAGGCGTAGGTCGCCTCGGCATGGCGGGTGCAGGAAGCTCATGCTCAGGGCAGCTATTGCTTCCACTGCTCGGAGGAGTACTGAATGGAGAAGATCTGTCTGTTGAACGAGGTGGACCAGGTTCGAGCGTAGTGGCTTCAGTGCGGGATGTCAGAGCCATAAGCTTGCTCGCAATCTTAGGCTTCTCTGCCCGGTTGACGGGAGGGGGGACTTTAAAGGAGGCATCTCGTCGGAGTTCGCCTGACCTTCTTGGTGGGGGTGGGGATGGAGGTGTGGAGGCTGAGAGTTTGGGAGATTTTCTCGGTTCCAGAAGAGGAGTCCCGGGTCTGCTGGGAATCCTGAAATTCCTTGGCGAAGAGCCTCCTGAAACAGCCGATAAAGGCGTATCCGTTGACAGGTAAGAAGGGGTGCTCGACAGTGTCAGGTTCAACGTCCTCGACTTGGGAGGTGACTGAGGCGGTTCAACGGTAACCGCTGGAGGGGCAGGAGCAGGAGCAGTAATCGTAGACACGGGTCTTAGCCGCAAGGTCCTTGTAGGGGATGGGGACAAGTTGGAGGGGTCCCTTCGAGGCGGTCGAAGTCCATTCTCTGCTGCCTCATTCTCTCTTAATCTGCCAGTTCGAGGACCTTCCCCAAACGCAACACCCTCTAAACGCGCAGAGCCAGGCCTGGCGGGGTCTCTGCTACTGCCACTAACACTGCCACCCGTGGGCTGGGGAGAGAGAGACCTGAGTCCTAGCGTGGGAGGTTTCGAGGTTGCCATCTGCTCGAAGTGTGAGCGCAGAGAGGATACCGGTTTCTGGGAGACATCTTTGTCAGCGGGACCAAATCTCAGAGGTTGGATTTGATAGACCATACTATAGAGGAGCCATCTAGGCTCTCCTCCGGGGTTTCCTCCATCTCGAAGGTTGTTGACACAGGCAGGGCTTATGAATTGATAGATTACAGGCCCATCTGGGTTTTGACCATGAATTCATAGAAATGGCCGCTCCCTCTAGCGGTTCCCAGATATTCCGTTGTCGAAGTTTGTCGGGATCGCTCATCAAGAAGGGGAGGCGTCTCGAATGTGGGGAAGGGCGTGCAGGGGGAAATCCTGAATTGGAGGGCCTTCGATTCGTTTTAGAGATTTGGCAGAAGTCGCGCCGGAATTGGGAGGGGGTGCAGGCCAAATTCTGTTCGTATGCAGACACATCATGCAAATTCACCAGGACGTGGAGTCGCTGTCATGGCGTCGAGAGAGGTGTTGCGGATTTGTAGGCGTTGCTGGGCTGGGCACGTATCCAGAGGCTATCCTAGGCGATCACGGTCACGGCCACGGTCTCGGTCTCGGTCGCGGTCCCCACGCGGCCGGGTTGTCAATTTTGGTGGCGTTCTCGGGGATTCGCGCCAGAGATCAGATCAAATCGGATCAAATCAGCTCACTTGCGGGCCACTTCACTTCACCGGGCCACTCTTCCTTTTTTCTTCTTCCAGAACTCCTTCCACGTCTCTTCCACTGGGAGAAAACAATCGAAACGAGCCTCTGCGACTGCATCTTCATCCAATTCGGCATCATCATTGCGGATTGGTTCATTACTGCTTGAATCTTCACCTCTTCCGAAATGAATACTGTCAGGAGCCCATCCACTTGTTCCGAGCTCCCCTGCTGACGTAGTGGAAGGTCAAATCGTTCTGGTATGAACATCAATGGCCGGCAGACGGGGAAAAGTCTTGATATTGACAAGATTACAGGGTAGGATGGGGCTCGCTATGTGTTGGTACGTTTCCAATGTGGCCAGGCCTGTGTGAACTGGGAGCTGATATCCAAGTAGCTGGAGGTGCAGCATACTATTTTGCGAAGAAGTCAATCAACGAGGACCGCGCCAACCGATTCGAAGCTGAGCAGAGACGAAGACGAATCCAGGAATCGCTCGAGTATAGCGCAACCCACCCGCCGCACAGTTCCAAGACGAACGGAGGGCCTGCTCGATCGGATAGCACAGGATCTCCAAGTCAAGAAGCAGCGTTAGATCCAGCACCGACGAGGCATGCACCGCAGACCGAGGAGCAGAGGGTCCGCGAGAAGAGCAAGTACGAGACGAGTGAACCTTTTCGAGCCAAAAAAGGTGACCGATTCAGCTGAGGGGGTGATACTGAGGCTAAAAGCTTACAATGTGAAGCATAGCATTGGGGCCGTATGCGAGGCAATGGACGTTATATATGTACAAAGCAGATTCATCTCCTCTTTTGGCGTTCAAGGTGGCATGATGAACAGATGGAGGCTCTTGGAGTCGGGCTGCGGGTGAAGAAGCGCAGCCCTTGAGACGAGTATTGTACTCATACGGTCCATCGCAAACTTAGAACTGCTTTATTTCCGAATGCCATCAATGATTTACGGCCGTCGGCGTCTTATTATTAATTTGGGCTGTGAAGCGTGTATCCAGAAAATTAATGGCGTGTTTTCCGGGCTCAGAATGAGCTCTGCCGCAAGGCTGAAAATTTCAGAGCTCCATGGAGGCGTGTCGCAAAGTCCCATGTCCTCTCCTCAAGTTGCAACACAACATAAGCCTCCAACGCCTCTCATGAATGAAGCGCGTGATTTCCTTCCACAGAAGGACATTTGACACGCCGAATCAAAATGGCGTCCCATCAACTCGCCATCGCAAAGGCCTCTTTCTCTGCCGGTCTCCTACGGCCTGATCCTACCTCCCTTGCGCGCAACGACATTTCCAACTTCCATTCCCTGCTGAACGAAACCGTCGTACAATGCACCCCGAGAAACGTCCAGGTTTGATCAAACATTCTAATGATTCTGTCAACGCGATGGCTAAGTGGTCCCTGAGGATAGAAATGCAAGCAATGGATATTGGAGAACATTGCTCAGTCTACAGCGAGGTTCACAGCATTGGGGAAATACTTGACGGCTTTGACGACTTCTTTCGTGGGATCTGATGGCCAAACGACCTCGAAGCGCGAGCCATCAGTGAGGAGAAAGCGCATGCACATTCTTTACCTGGTCAACGATATCCTCTACCATTCCAAATACCGAATCAACGATGCATCAATCTGCGGGAAGGTACAGCCAATATTGGTGGGCTTATTTGGAAGCGCTGCATCATTCAAGGCATGTCCGAAGCATCAGCGGAAAGTCCTGGACCTGCTAGACATATGGGACCAGCAGGGATACTATTCCAAAGACTACATCGACAAACTTCGTGAAGCTGTGAAGAATGCCGCAGAGGCGGGGGAGCATGCGGACGGAAGTTCTACAGCAGCAGAAAGGGATCAAGGGCTTACGACGAAGACTACCAGATCTGCGCCATATGTTATGCCAGCTGTGCATGGAGATCCATCCACGCCATGGTTCGATTTACCTGCAGGAAACCTGATGCCACATATCGTGCCCAACTCAACAAGACCTATCAACCCGGATATGATAAAGCCTTTGCAGTTTGTGGCAGGTCCGGCCGACGAGAATTTGGTAGTGGCTGTGAAAGCTCTTCTGGAAGATGTGCAGACCATATTTGGAGGTCAAACAGATCAAGAGGAGAAAGCATCGATGGATATTGATGAGCTCGGTCAGCCTATCGTACTTGATGAGATTACCGGGGAAGTCATCGATGGCGAAGGGTACTATGGCTGGTCCCGATCATTCTGTGAGAAGATGAAAAGGCGGAAGAAGGGACTGGACGTTCCTGGGAAAGATGAAGGTCGGGGAAGGAGTCGAAGCAGGAGTTCAACTCCGGGTACGAGGAAGAGACGATATAGCGACTCGGATGATGGATCGAGCCCAGAAGACTACAAGTCTGCACGACGACGACGATCTTACAGTTCTTCACGCTCTCCATCGCCAGATCATGGACGGAAGAATGGGAATTCGGGGTCCGGGTCGAGGAGGTCATACTCGAGGTCTCCCGGACGATCGTCAAGTCCAATACGGCCGGAAAGCTATCCAAAAGACACTCGGCCTCCTCAGGGCTTACCACCAAGGCCCCATATGCCTTCCATCCCCCCTCCGCCGTTTCAACAACCCTTCAATCCAAACTTCCCACCGCCGCCCCCGCCCCAATTCAACAGTCAAAATCCACAATTCGGAGCATGGCCTCCTCCCCCTCCTCCGCCCCTACAAAACTTCAACGGACAAAATCAACAACAGTATGGTAATTGGCCTCCACCGCCCCCTCCTCCTGGGAATCCACCACCGATGAACTACCAGCAGCAGCAAGGCAACTACCCACCCGCATCCGGACCAGGAGGCTGGCAGCAAGGAAACGGAAGAGGCTACAACGGTAACTGGAACGGACCTCGCGGAAGGGGAAACTATCGCGGCCGAGGCGGAGGATGGTGATTACAATTTACCAACTCAAGCCTGTACAATACTTGTATGACGTGAGCTCACAGCTCAAGCTGAATGAATCTCACACCGACAACTTCGTCACAAGCCCTCAAAATCCCATCTAGCAATGACTTCATAAGCTGACTTTCATCACATCAACTACGATCCTTTGTATTCACGTGCCCAAAATCCAGTGCGCAACATCCGCGACATCTCTTTCCAACCACTCAGAGAACAGCCTGTGACAAGGATAGCACATGCAAATATCAGTTGATTTCCTCCTTAAGAGTGACCCCCCACGCTCGTCATGTCTCACTCCCACTTCCCACCTCCTCCTGTGCAGAAGCGGAGAACCCTGCTTACTCGTCGGCAATTCCTCCTTTGCTAGGGCCGACTTTGCACTAGCAAGTCGGGGGGCACCAGCAACTCTGACATTTGTATATGACTACTATATAACCACGAACAGTACAACTTATTAGATTAATGCATTTTAATTGACTCGTTAAGGCTTGTCCGGATATAAGGTTGTATTATAATAGGTACTGTGGAAGTCTTTTAATATAATAATGTCGGAGTTGCTGTCCGCAGCTCGCTAGTCGAGCCGTCCCAACCCGGGTGAGGAAATCCCTGCGAGTACCTCTTCCCCTCCTTCCGGCGAATATCAATATCTCAAAATTAATATAGGGCCCCGGGCCTTGCGCGGCCATTCGTATGCGTGGCGTGGGTGCGTCAATGCCAAAAAAACAAAAAACAAAAAACAAAAATAGATTTTTATTGGGAATTTGGGGAGTGGAAGGGGAAAAGTGTTGGGATTCTTTGAATGTGCGGGGGGCCAGGTAATGCCAAGGGGGGAATGGGGGTCTGTGGAGAGGGGATGGGGATGATGGGGCGGAAGTCGATGCATGGCGCTTTGTGGGATACGGACGGGGTGGGATTTGGAAGCGAAATGGTGCCACGATGGTTTGACGAAGGAGAGAACGTTGGGTTATCGGGCTTGGGGGTCAGCCCTGGGATTTAGGGGGTCGATCTTGGGGGTCACTTCGCTCTGGGAAATGTGGCTTTTGAGGGTTCTGTGGATATTTGCATAAGAAAGTAAGTAATCACGAATCTCACTCTACTTGGTTGTACTTATCATGGAGTTCTCAGCGGTACTTGCATAGAATTGACTTTAAATCAACTTTCATGGTCATGTTTTTTGCTTTTTCTATTGAACACTTCGAAAACTGGGATGCATCAAAGCCGTTGATGCAAGAAGTCACAGTGAAGTTACACACGATTCCGAGCCCAAGTCCCCACACGATGGTGGCTTGCCCTGCCCTTCTTTTGACAATGTCGAATTACTGCAAATATATACGAGGCTTGTTATAGTCCACCTGCAAGATACCCACTGTCGAGCCGTTACCGGCTTGACGGCTCTCGAGGTGGACATCAGCCACATACCCACTGAGAAGGGTTACGGGTGTGACGGCACTCAAGCCCTGCATCTGCATTGCGGTTCCTGCTTCACCGCTCCCTCCACCAACCAGCCCCTTTCCTTCCACCGCCCCCATCACTGACGTCCCATAGCCCTCTCCACAACCTCCAAAACAGCCAAACACTTCTCGTCCTCAAACCTCCTTGTAACGATCTGCAGTCCAACTGGCGCTTCCACATACCTCTCCTTCTCATACAGTTCCCAATTAAATCTATCCTGCTTATTCCTCGGCACATAACTTTCATCCTTAAGACCCAATTCCTGATCTACAAACGTAACCGGGAACACGACGCCAGGGTATTCGAGGAGGTTCCACCGGCTGGTGTAATTCCAGTATTTTGCGTTGCCGTGAGGTGGTGCAGCACCGGGGCCGGCAGGGCAGAGGATTGCATCGACGGGGTGGTCGTCTTTCTTTTCTGTGCTGAGCCAGAGATCGTTGTACTTTAAGCGGTACGCGTTTCGTCTGCCTTTCAACTATTACCTCATATCAGCACTCTCCTCCCCCTTAAACCAGAAATGGTGAAAGGAAGATTAGACATACATCCCAAATCTCCTCCACAGTCCGATACTTCTCATTTTTATTATCTTTGATAAGCCACTTGGTTAAAGAGAGCATCTCTTCCCCTCCATCAGCAATCAGTTTCTCGACGTGCTTGCCGCCGTCTTCGTAGTACAGTGCTTGCGTGATCTCCCAGCACTCATCGTGGCCCTCTGGTTTCCAGTCTACGAGCTCGATGCCTGCTTCTAAGAGGGATTTGGCGACTTTTTTTTAGGGCGCGCGTTACGGGCGGGTGAGGAGTGACGATGTCGTCTGACCACATGATTGTGATTTTCAGCCTCGGGAGGAGGGTAACGGGGCGCCATGGGATAGGGACCAGGTAGTCGTCTTTGATCCAAGGCTCATAGCTGAGATATATTTCCATGAATAAGCTGATTCCAGAGCGAGAGGAAGCCATCGGTCCTTGAGTAGGAATAATCCTTCACTTCGTTAGCGAGCCCCTTTTCTCTTATTAAAGAAATATACCCTTCCTGCCCCGAAACCGCAGCTCGGGAGCCCAGCTTCTCGATCCGTCCGAGGGTTGGTTTAAACCCATAAATCCCCGTATTAGCAGCAGGACAGCGAATTGAGCCTCTAATATCACCACCCATGCCCTGCTCAATATCAATGTCCACATTCACAATTCTCGCTTAAGCTGGACTCACCAAAATACTCCCCCGACAAGCAATCAACGCACTCTCCCCACCCGAGCTTCCTCCACACGTAAGGTCAGTATTCCACGGATTTGTCGTAACACCATAGATATTCGTGCTGGTCTCCAGATGCATGATGGTCTGTGGCTGCGTGGTTCGAGCATACGGCACCGCTCCCGCTTCCAGCAGTACTTCCTGCGTCGAGATATTTTGCTCGGGCGATCGCGGGGGAGGGGAGGAGCTCTGTTAAGCAGTTTGTCTGTCGTTGAGATTAACGCCTGGACTTAAATCCCAAATCCAGACCGAGAGTGAGAGATGCAAGATTGCATACTAATTTCTGCGCCAAGGCCGCGCGCCGAAGAAATGCTATGGTGACAGTCTCACAAGAATACTCCTTGCTACGGGTGGCTTGGAGCAGCTCCGGGACATCACAGGATGTGATCTTGATTTCTTCGGGTGTGAGGACAGAGTTTGCTATCTCTGTGACGTTTTTGGAGAGGGTTTCTGGAAGAGGTGAGAGTGGAGGGTCCACGAGAATTGAGGTGTCGCGGAGGGAGAGAGCTTCTGAGATTAGTTTTTTTGCTTTCATTGTTCTGGCGGAGTTGGGGTGGATATTGAAAGGTGAGGAAGGAGTTCAGACCCAGAACATATTGAAGAACTACGTCTTGTTCATGCAAACCGGACTTGAACCCAAAGATCCGCGTCAATCCCGTCTTTGACTTTTTAGGAGCTGCCAATCCATCTTTGAGTTTGTTCACTCGTCGCTGTGGATCTGCGAGTGCTTATCGAGAGCTGTTATCTTTAAAGTGGAGAGAGGTTGATCTGCATCTGTGCATACAGACGCGTTAAACGCTATCTCAATAGTCCCTATTCTTAATGTTGGAAATAGGATACCGCAGTTGTTCCGGTAGATGGGAGCGCCAAGAGATTGATGTCGAGAAGGCCTTTCTATCTTGGCTTTGACGGAGCGAAATTTAAAGAGCACTGGCCCCATCAAATGACAGGTAGCCAACTTAGCCTTGGCAACTCGAACCACAATCACAACCAAGGAGACAAAATAGGATCTATGTCATAACCCATCCATTATCATCAAACATATAGTTACAAACATCATGGTGTAAACATTCCCCCTTGGCGATAGTCTATTGCAAAAGGAAAACGTTATTATCGATGCGACACTCGAAAACAAAAACGAAAGAAATCACGAAAGAAAAACCCTACCGAAAGATGCCGTTGTTCATCGCTGCGGCTTGAAATTTGGGGAAGAACTGTTGAATTAGAAACGAAATTTCCAGCGGCAAGGGAGTGAGACTTACAGGAGTTCCAAAACCAGTGACTGCGTCCCAGCCAGCTTGAGCTGGGAAGCCCGTAGTTCCACAGCCACTTGCAGATCCACTCGTGATATCTGTGAATGATGCTGATCCACCTGAGTAGAGCCATGGATTGAGGAAGCCGAGGACTGGCTTGCCGGCTGCGAGGAGCATATCATTGACCAGTGCTATGACGGAGGCGATAGTTGGTGCTGATGCACTATTTGCTATGTCAGAGAATGGTATAATCAACAATTTCGCACCAAACCCACCTTGTTCCATCAAGAGAGACGAGGGTTCCATTCCAGACGACGAGGAAGTGAAATCCTTGCGCCGCGATATCTGGATATCCGCGTCCAGATGCGTTGAAGAGGTTCTTGAATTGCCCCTTGAGGCTGGTGATGTATGCTGGTACCACTTTGTCTTGGTAGGCAGGTCGAGGAAAGTAGTTGCTGAAGCCACCACCGCTGACGAAACCGTTGCCGGCGTCGACGGCCACAATCTCGGGGTTGACGTTCTTGGTTGCTCCCACTGTGGTAACGAAAGGACATGCTGCTGGGAACGCAGGAAGAAATGTGCTTGTGTTTTTACCATCGTTTGTGACGCAGTTAGTATCGCCGCCTACGCCACTGTCACCACTTGAGAAGATGAGGGTCACTCCTCGAGCTCCTAATTGAGCAAAGCTGTTGCAGACGGATGTTGCAAAGGATAATGGAATACTCTGCTCATCATCGCCATAAGATGTGCTGATGACCTGGGGAATAGTTGTTTGGCTCAAGATGAATTGTACCCAGGTGAGATACGGCTCGTTGGTGTCTGTTGGTGTTGCATGGTCCGGAATGAACGGGGGTTTTCCGCCAGTGTTAAATGTAAATAATTTTGTAGGATATGTGATTCCAATGATAGTCTCGGCGTCCAGGTTGCCTTCGAGGTCTGTTTTAGCAGCTAGTCCTGAGGAGTTGAGCGGGGTTTGTTGATCATTTCCTCCATCTATAGTAGTAACAGTGAAGTTGTTGCCTGCTCCTGCTGCATCTGGTCTAAATCTCGACAAGAAAATATTCACATCTGATCGATTATTTGCTTCTCCTAGATAGTTGCAGAGAACGATTTGATTCTTGTCCAGAGATTTGGGGACATAGTCTATAGTTCCTACCGGGATGTCAGGCGCCGGAAGAGAGTTAATAGTCGAAGCTGTACTGACCATAAAGAGTTCGAAGACACGTTGGTGTTACGGCAGTGATATTGCATGCTTCAGCGACGGTAGCCTTGCTTACAGGACTGACAGGATCACCGCTTAAATACTGTTCCAAGCCAGCCACTTCCGCAGTCTTGAGAGTGGATCTCTTCGGTTTGGGTTGGAAGAATGAGTTGGTTGGTTGAATCGTGTCAATGTGCCCGTGGAGATGAATAGGAAGGGACCATTGTGGTGTCCGGATCAGGTGAGAGCCGTCTTTGTGCTTAAAAACGGAGTACTTGGTGTCAAGCAATCTTTCAATATCTTTGACTCGAAGCGTGACTTTAATCCAATCTTTTGCACTGCTGTATTCGAGCTGACTGCTGTCAACACCACAGTCGTCTAGCCATTCATGGACTTGGTCAAAAGTCTCATCGGTAGGCTTGACAAGCTCATCCACTTCCTCGGATGAAAGATGTTGACCATATCGTTCATGAGATGGATCGGACACTAGTTCAAAGTTAGTTTGGGACAACTAAACAAGAAACTCTGAGATTGTCATGTGATGTTCACATAATGAAATGTTCATCTCCAAAAGTACCTTCGTATAGATGCCTCTCGAGTTCACTGAATTGACCCTGTTTCAATCCAATCTGAATTCTGATCATATGATCAGCCGGCGCAGGTCCGACTGCCTTCCAACTCTTCGGCACGTGATGCGTGTCTTTCACGGCATATGGTGTCCGACTTCGAAGGCTCGACCCTAAAACTGTGCCTGCGCAAACAAGGAGTGCCATCAAGGCGTTTTTGGCGAGGGGCGGTAACATCTTGACGGTTGGCTACCTAGAGGTACAAGTTAAGGTTAGCACCCGGGGAAAGCAGACCTCTTATGTACTGAAAGATGAGACACGCAACTATTCTTTGTCAGTAAGGGTAAATTCCAGAGTTGATCAATATGAGAAGCTGCGCTAAGCAGTGAGGTGTGCCGAACGAACTTTGATGCTTGATCTTGATCTAGGGGTTGAGGTATGAGATGGGTTTCATCCCAACGGCGCCGAAAAATTCCGGCTGTTGGTGATCATTGATCTTCCGGCCGGCCGACGAGCAGAACTGAAAATGAGCTGAATAATCAATTAATTCCTGATGCGATGAATTGGGAGCGATTGCCAATTGAGGGAGTTAGTAGAAAAACGGTACCTGGATGCTTGGCACGCGACAGTTTCCATGCCGGTGGAATGTAAGGGTGCGGTGCGCGGGCTGGCGCGTGTTGGATTGACGAGCCAATTTATGCGGACGTGGGCGGCGCAGGGCAGCAATTATTGCTTTAAGTTTAAAGGGACAACGGATGAACAGCTCTTCGAAGGACGACAGGTTTCTGATGGAGGTGAGCAATGCTGGGTGCTGGGTGTTGTTTGGTGCAGGATGTCGTTGGTTGTCGAAAGCCACAGGGCTGCTGCACTGTTGTGCAAGCGATCCAGTCAGCGGAAGGGAGTGCTTGCTCTTCATGGAATCTCTGGACGACAATCTTGATGATCGAGATAATGAATCTTGGATTTGAACGGAACTGAATTGAATTGAATACGAAGACCGTCTCTTCGCTCGGATCCCATTTGAAAGTATGGCTTGTCTTCTTCCAGCAATTCGCCTGTTCCTCGGGCCCTTTTTCATCAACCCTACCAACCAAGCCTTTGCCATAGCTTTCTCTTAAAGATCCTGGAAAGCATGAGGATTTACTTTACCGGAAGTTTGGAGCTATGTGCAAGAGTTTACTAGGATTTGAAACTGCACTCCTGTTTACTATTCTTGCTTGCTCTAAACTTTTACAAAGTTCACGTGACCACATCTCTGAAACATATTGCATGCTTCACTAAGAAGAGAACGAGCAATGCCTTTTTGAAGACGCCAAGAGAACCCAAGTGTTTTGGCCCCTCGAACAAACAGTCCATCCTACGGCATGAGTTTCCAAGCCAAGTCACGGGACGCTTGGGTGACACAAGCGAGCGATCGCTCGAAGTAAGGGGGAGTCGTGAGTAGCAAGACACGAAGAAGATATTAGGATTTAGATACCTTCCAGCGTCAAATTCTCATGTACCGGTACATCACTGTCTCCAGTCGATATCCCATTTTGACGCCCGGACGAGAGGTACATCGTGTCCGATGAATAAGCGCCAATACACGGCTCGTATGATGCCCTCTTTAGAGTCCCTTGCTACCTCAAGGCAGCTTTTACCTTTTACGTCACGGCTCGCGTTTCTCTCTTCTATACCTGGCCAACTCATCAGCAAAACAACAACTCAACGCGGTACACCCCGAGATTTGGCATCTACATCACCGTGCAGCGTGAAGGTCCATTCGGAGTGGAAGCCAGAGCCTGCGGTGCAAGTCATCTGCAGGCACTGCAAATGACGCTATCCCATCCCACTTTTCTGGACAGAATTGCCCTTCTGTGCTCCCTTTCACGATGCTGGAGGTGCTGCGCTGTCTGCCGTCTGCCGTCTGCCGACTGCTCCTCTGATGTCTGATGTCTGCTGTCTGCTGCGGTGCCCCACTCTCGATTGGGCCGCGGATAGCCACGACGCGGTGCGATAGATAATGAGGTTCCACAGCCAGCATTCGTAGATGTTTTGTTTCATGATGCTGTCAGAAAAGGGAGGAGAGGCAAGTGCCGTAAGTAACGCTCAGTACTTAATTGATGTGATGGCGGAAACACCCGCCGCGCATCGGGCGCTACACGACTCGACTCGACCGACTCGAGCCGTCCTGGATGAAGCCGAGATAAAGAAGAGAGGTGCATCGTGATGGGCGGGGCAAGGCGAGGCTTGACAAGCTCGATACAAAGGTGGACCCCGTTTTTACATCTCCAACGTCGACGCATCTTCCCTTATCCACTACACTTCACTTCACTTCACTTCGCTTTACTTTACTTCACTCCAGTCCACTCCACTCCACTCACTCCACCCCTCCACTCCCTCCACTCCATCCACTCCACTCCATCCACTCCACCCCTCCACTCCATCCACTCCATCCCACTCCCTCCATCCCACTCCCTCCACCCCACTCCACTCACTTCACCACACTCACTTCACCACACTCACTTCCCTCAAAGTCACCACCGGGCTGCACTCACGACCACACGCAGCAAAGCATCTCCAGCTCGTCCAGCCAGCCTTGCATGCCCCCCCGGCTCCACCCCGACCCCGCCTTCATCAACAAGGGCGCTGAGCAGCAGCAAGCTCGCTCCCGTGGTGCCCGTCCCCGACCCCGTCCCCGACCCTGACCCGGTCCCCGTCCGTCCCCCCCATCCCCCCCACGTCAACATTTGGTGGCGTGTGCGACTGAAGCGATTCTCATGCACGCTGCACAGCATTCGGGCTAGTAATCCAGAGGACCCTGAATCTCCCTGTGCTTCGCAAGCTGGAGAATTCTTAAGTCGGCGACCCCCCCCTCCCCCCATACGGCCCCATACACAATTACACATGCCCCCAAACCTCCACAAAAAATAAGCTGAGTTGAGACAGTCCTCGTTGCCCTGCTCTACCCTGTCCGCGTGGGGACGCCTCGTTACTTTCCTGGCTGTGAGGGGGAGAGCTTCGGTATCAGCTGAGAGCCCCCCCAATTCCGCATCGGTGCACTTTACCTCATCTTTCCTCGATTACCCCGCCGATGAGGCCGTATCGTGTAACCTTCTCCTCGTCTGGTTCCAAGACACCGCCAAACACATTCTCTTGCGCCCTCCCCTCCGACTCCACCCCGCAGATCATCCTTCGGACTGCAAGACACGGCTGAAGGCCAAGGCAGCTTCAAGCTGCCCTTCTGGTATTGGCTGGCTGCAAGGCACTGGCTGCTCAAGCAGGCTGCATAATATCCTTGTCGCTGACCCGGAAAGCCGCCGATTTGGGATTACAGAAACACCATGAATGCACAAATATCCTTCATCGTAAGCTTCCTTGTCTTCTCTTCCTTCCTTTATACTTTCGAGCTTTGTTGGCACCCTCGAGTCCTCGCCAGCGCTGGAGTTCATGGATAGTTCCGGTCCTGTATGAGACGAGGCTTGGGCCAGTGTGGCTACACCATGGTTGAGCTGTTCTTGTGACGGTGGACTATACTATGTCTCTGTTTATACGCTCTAGATGTCTCATACAATTCCGATCACATATATCAAGAAGGCGTTCTCGTCCTCATGGGGACTTTTTATTCATGTTCTCGAATATCAACATCAAACCGACCGTCGTGACCTCCACTGACGGCTGCGAACAGGAGGGTCAATTCAGCCTCATACACATCCCTCTTGCCCTCTACTCCTCTCTTCTGCAACCAATACTCCAAGTCCTCCTCCCTCATGGCGGCCCAACGCACCAAAGCGGCCCGGAAGGCCTCCTCGAAGGCCTCTCCCTCGACCACAAGCACGGCTTCCTCAACATCAGCGTAACACCCATCGAATGCTCCATCGTCTGCCACACCACCTGGGCACAGAATGTCTTCGCACCAGTCATTGCCCTGCTCCCCAAAGAATCCTCCAGACAGGTGCAAATATCAAAAGAGAGCTACATCGTCTTCAGCGTTAGTAGCGCAGGGATGGAAGCCGGGCAGCGAGTCATGGACCTAACAGCTCCCCTCGCTATGGCAGGAATCCCCATCTTCTTCATCACAACTTATTACACAGACTTCATCCTCGTCCCTAGCAAAGATCGGCAAACAGTCGGGTCGGCACTCCTCGCTCGAGGGTTCGAGTTCTCCGAGAACGATTCAGCGTATGTAGCGCCGACACCGACCACGCATTCCCGCATCCCAAGCACGTCCTCCGACCCGCCGTCCACGCCGCCGCCGACGAACGTCGCCGAGCTGCAACTTCGCACGTTCAGCCAGCTGAAGAAGAGGCATGTGGTACCGTTTGTAGAGCCAGGATTGCATCTTGTACAATGTTCTGGGAAGGAAATCTTACCTCAGGATGAATATCGGAACGGGACGAACGGGAGTGTGCAGCAGAGCAGCTGGATGGAAAATATCGATCCCAGGCTTTACGTTGGGCTAGTATCTGCTTTGGCACAGCAGCCTCGCTTTCTGTCGCTTACGCTGACACAAGATGATGCGCCTTCCTTGCTTGTGGACAAGAGTCTGCTGTGGCTGTTTGGGAACAGCATCGCCGGTGACACGGAGGGAGATTTGGTGCCGATCTTCTTGGACTTGGTGGATTTGCCGCTGGAGAGTACGGGCATCGTTTGTGGGGTTGCGGGGAAGCTAGTTGATGAGATGAGGATGCAGGATCCTGCAGCTAGCCTTTCTTCGGAGCTGTCGTACTTGAGTACTGCGAGAGCCGGTGCCGTCATTTTGGGCAGTGAAGGGAGTGCGAGGGCGTTGGAGGCGTTGTTGCCTTTATTGGAGAAGGTGGAAGGACGGTAGACCTTTGGGTCGATGGAAATTGGGTCGAATGATGTGCGAATGGTATTATATAGTCACTGCTCACTCCTCTTGTCTATAGGAATGCATGGCCGGATAGATAATTGGGGAAAAGGGGCGGCTTGGGTGCATTGCATGGATGGGAAGGGGGGGGTCAAAAAACTTGCATGCGAAGGAGTACGTTGTTTTGAGTATTGGCGAGGTAATTTGTCTTGTAGCATACCAATCGATAAAGTATTTGATGCTTTTGGTCCCTCTTGGAAGGAATCGTGCTTGTCGAAGAGACGAAAGGAATCTCGGTCGGGCCAGAGACGAACTCGAAATGACAAACCTTGAGCATTACGGATGAAAATATACCTGCGGTTGGATTCCCCTGCCAAACTCGTCTCCCCCACATCAGCATGCTCTCTCCTTGGCACAGTTTACTTCTCCCCGACATCAAATCCCATCCCCACACCGGACCTCTCTCCGCTACCCATCCAAACCCAATAAAGTGGTTGTGATCCAAGATACCGTTGTCGATCTCCTGGCTGTCTCGTCTTATCTATCTCCAATCTCTCTGCACTGGCCGATCACCCTCAAGCAACTCGGCACCGGGCGCACGCTCCGCTCCGCTCGTCACTCGGAGTCTCACCAATGTGATATCCTCATTCTCAACCTCGTAATAACCTGGATCAAGGATAGGAGACTAAGGAGAGGCTTCGAGATTGGGAATGTGATGCACCCGCCTCACCTGAAACATTCCTTGACTAAGACATCTGCACGGTGAGAAATTCTCAGGGGTCACCTGATGTGCCGAGTGATCGACGCCACGCGGGGGAGATGGAAAAGTCCAAACTCGATGTCTTGCCTGGCTCCTCGCTTGAGGGACCCCTGTACGAGCACATCTGACGCCACATACACGGGATTGATTTGGATTCTGGACGAAGACCAAGCTGGCCTTTGAGCGTGAGCTTGAGACATTTGGTATACATTGCATATTCAGGGTAATACTTGTGCTATGGGTTGATTGAGCGAGAGGGGAGCATCATGGATCAGTGCTTGTGAAGTGCTGAAGCGTTTGCTGGTGATGCCTCCCCAGCTTTATCCCTGTCTGCACCTCCCCGCTCGCACCTCACTCCCTACTGTTAACTAACTGCATGACGTCTTTCGATTTGCATCTCGACGCCCCGATGCACACCAGCCACAGGCAACCTCCTCATTTGCACCAAGCGGAGTTCGTCGGCTCAGGATCGTGGCAGAGATCAAGATCAAGTTCCGCAGCAGGCTTCTCCATACACTAGGCCACGCAACGGCGCAGCCCCAGCAAGTACCCCCAATGTTGATTTGGTGACGACTGCCTTGTGGGACGAGCGGTGCTACCAATTGGGCAGGCACAAGCTTACAGCAGAAAAGCAGAAAAGCACCGCGTCATCTCGCTCCTGCCTTCACATTGCATTAATGTAGAGCTACCTTCTCCTCATCTCGTCTTCCTTCCTTCGTTCTCTCTTCTCTTCCATTAACGACATCAACAAACTCTTCTCCAAAACATCACAAACGCAGAGCTTCAAGAGTACAATACATCAAACAATCAAGAACAGATCAATACCGTCAGGATGCTTGATCCAGTTGGCTTCGAGGCAGCGTTCTTCAAGACTTCGTCTTTGCTCGTCCCCACCCCATCCCCGACTCCGTCAGTCTCTCCTATCCCAACAGTCATCCCCAACCTCCCTCGCTATGAGCGAATTGGCGACACTGGAGGCAAGACACTCTGGGTAGGCTTTATCAAGATCCTCCGTTTGCATATCTAACCATTGGCAGGTCGTCTTCGCCATCATGCTTCTGTCAACTCTTGCCTTTATCGCCATGTCATGGAGAGTTCCAGTCGTAAGTTCATCTGCTCTCCTCCACAATGGGCCAGCTAACCGCCAGTAGCAAAAACGCCTCTTCCACGTCATCACGACTTTGATCACCACCTTTGCCACCCTCTCCTACTTTGCCATGGCGACTGGCGACGGAAACTCATACACACACATCGTGGTCAAGGAGGCACACAAGTATGTTCCCGGCACTGTCGAGCATGTCTTCCGTCAAGTATTCTGGGCCCGGTACGTCGACTGGAGCATAACTACACCACTTCTCCTCCTGGACTTGGCTTTCTTGGCTGGTATGGACGGTGCTAGCATCCTCGTTGCCATCGTCGCAGATCTCATCATGGTCTTGACTGGTCTCTTTGCTGCATATGGCAAGAACGATGGTCAGAAATGGGGGTGGTATGCCATGGCTTGCATTGCCTACCTCGTCATCGTCTACCAGTTTGTCATCTCTGGTCGTCGTGCAGCCATGAGCAAGGACAGCTCCACCTCCAAGCTCTTTGCTTCCATTGGCGGCTTCACCCTCGTTCTCTGGACTCTGTACCCCATTGTGTGGGGTATTGGTGATGGTGCTCGCAAGTGGAGCGTTGACGCTGAGATCGTTGCTTACGCCATCTTGGATGTCCTTGCCAAGCCCGTCTTTGGTTTCTGGCTCTTGTTCGCACATGCCAAAAAGGCCACTGCCATTGAAGGATTCTGGAGCCACGGTTTGAGCTCTGAAGGTTCCTTGAGAGTTGGAGATGACGAGTAAATGTCTTGCACATAACCCGATAACGAATGGAAGGAAAATTATGGGGATAAATGATGAAGGTATCGGAATAGGGGTATGGGAACGGGAATCGGGAGATGCGATTATGTGCATGGGTTTCTTTTATCTTTCCTCACTGCAAAAGAGTGGTACAAACTTCATGTATACATTTTCTGGCTTGCCAGACATTGAAAAGCGTGCATTTTAGGGGGGTAGTAATGAGATTGAGGTGCGTGAAACTTTTCCTATCCAATAGGACAACTTCGTGAAAGGATGTAGTCTGGGTGCCGCAATCCCCACTTTGACAACCAGGCCAAGTTCTTTCTCAGATCCCTTCGAACCTTGCCAAGTCTTTCCACTATGAGTACTTCAACCGTAAGATAGTCCATCTTGTTCTTTAAACAAAGTCGACAAGATGCGGGCAGCAGCCTGTCTACCCATCTATCCATCCATCCTATCCTCCGAGAAATCCTCGCCAGAATCTGAATCCATCAAACACCACCCGCACGTCTCGGAATGCCGCCCTGAGGATTGGAATTATTCGAATATCCATGCGTATTGTGCTGCTGACTCGGACCCGAAAGGTGGAGGAGGTCTCGATCCTGCTGCTGGTAGTGGTACGCCGACGCAGCCTGGAAGTTCTGCTGCGCCATCATCTGGCGTATCCGCGACGCGCTGCGCACGTGCGGTGGTGCTCTCCCCGGAGGTCGATTTGCGGTCTGGTGGAGGTGCAGGCCTGGGTGGTGGTACGAGGACGAGGGAGGGGGCAGGGGCGTGAGGGCGTGGTCGTAGGGTCCTCCTGTGGGCGGTGGAGGCGGAGGCGGAGGGCGTGGCGAGCGGTGTTCGTGTTTGGTGCGCCGGAAGGGACTTCTCCACCTCCAGCTGTGCGACGAAAATGAAAATGGGAAGCGAGATGGATCGAGGTCGAAGCCGAGGAATAGCAATGGAGCGCTGAAGAACCGCGCGAGCTGTTCGCGTCGGTTAACGCTGGGCTGGAGTCGCGTGTCGAGTTCCAGCTGCATAGGCTCACTGGGTCCGCCTAGAAAGGGACAGCAGAAGAGAAAGACAGTGTACTCGAGCAGGAGCAGCGGGATCCAGAGACTGAGCAGGAGGATGCGGATGCCGACGAGCAGAACGGTGGACGTCCGTCGCACGGCGGCAAGGATGCTCCTTTGCTCGGCTTGCTGGGTCTGCTGAATCTCAAGCTGCTCCCGTACCTGGCGCACGCGTGATTTCGCATTCGCAGTGGCATCGCCCTCCCCGGTATCCGGCCTGCCCTCGGAAACGAGCGTGGTGGTGCTTCGGAGATGTGTTTGCGATATCGTGCTCCCAAGACTGCTGTCTGATCCCGAAACAGCACGTCGTCTCCACAACCCGTAGAGATTGGCGGCTTCTTTGACTTCGTGGACGGGGATGCTGATGAGAAGGAGCTCTGTGAGAAAGAGGAGGTGTTTCCAGGTGGGTTGCTCTCCTGAGTCGCGAGAAGCCCCGTTTCCCCACCGCTTTCGTGGGTGCGAGTTTATATAGGAGCAGAGCTTTTGCCCAGGATTGGGTATGGTTTTTCTGATGGCTTGCTGCACGTCTTGGGGAGAGACGGTGAGGAGCAAGACTGCCAGTATTGTGGAGACTGTTACCACCGGAAGGACGATGGTGAATGTCTTCATGGATGTAGTAGGGGGGAGAATGGACTGCATGCCGAATATGCTCTGGTTAAAGGAGCAGAGATTAAGTGTCAGAATTGAGATGCCTTTTGCGGGGGTTAAGGTTCAATGCTTACAGTTGAGAATGAGAGCGGGAGAAAGAGGATGGTGAAATAGGTGAGTAATCTGATGTTCTCGCCTTGGTTGATGGTCACACTGGTGTCCGATAGCGATGTGACATAGAACAGCCCATCCCGCAAACGGAGCACTTGCTCGGACTTCTTTCTAATCCTCTCTATCTTGTCCTGGAGTCGAGCTATGGCCAGCTCGATCAATTCTACGGATTTTGAATAGTCTTCTGGGTTTCGGCCGTCGTTGACCTTGTCTAGCGAGTGGCGCTTGAATTGCTCCCATGCGTTGACGGTTGCTTCTAGCGTCTCTTCGAATAGCTTGTACGCTTCTAGTGCCCAGAAGTAGGTACGAAGCTTCGATATCTTGAGATCCTTGGCTCCGCTCGCCAAGTCTAGTTAGGTTGTTGGTCAGCGAATCATTTTATCAGATATATGGCATGACATACCAAAGTTATTCATTTGGTGGAAAACAACCGCTTCTTCAGAGGCAATCTGGGCATCTACAGCAGCTATCGCGTCTTGCCAACGGATTCCAACGTGGTGGAGGGCCATGGCGATCCAGGACAGAAACATAGTTGACGGAGTCCATGTGGGACTATTGACAAAGGTTCTAAACTCGCCAGATTTAGGTCCGTTGAAGTACTTCTCGCCCAGTTGATAACACGTGTATGTGTCTTGGCCATGTCCCATTAGGATGAAACTCATCTGTTCTTCATAGATGTGGCGACTGCAGGTATCACTCTCGGATCGTTGGCCGAACCATGAGAACTTCCGGAGTTTGCGGACGTCGGTGAGCACCAAATGGGTTTCCAAGGATTCTTTCGTGACGTAATAGAAGGCAAAGTGATACTCGAAGATAAAGGTGTTCACGGTCTATCTCAAAATCGTAAGTTAGCCATTCGTCAAAGGAAGCATAATGCTGTGAGCGCTGCTGCCGTTGCTCTACGTGCAACGCAGTTCCAGACAACGTCAATGTAAGGAAGGTCCTGGTGTATTCATCAAGACCGGCTATTCAAACGTCACTCGACGTATTGTGCGTTCAAATTCCCAGCCTTGAGCTAGAGATTTCGGAACATACGAACTTTCGTGGGGCATTTAGATACAGGTAGGTGTACGCAAAGCTTTGAATGGTGCTCTTACCTCGCTTTTGATACTCTGCATAGATGCTTTGCCGAAGTTTGTGAAGCTCAGGTAACGCTCAAGGAAAGGCGAGACATTTGAGACAACATTCCTAATACGGTGTCAGGAAATGTTCTTCCCACATGTGAGCATATCTGGAGGATAACTTACCTCGGTGTTGATGCGAGAAGAATTGCGGCTACGACAGGAGAAATGTCTTCTATGCACAACAGACGCGAAGGTAAACGCTCTCCAACTCTGCCAGATTTCCCTGTTCTGTCCGCCACTACTCGACGTTGGACGATGTTCCACATTCTCTGGGGCATTGGTACCTTCTTCCCTGTTTCTTCTGCGACGGGGTCTTCGGAGCTCCATTTCTCAACTACCGTTTCTTCTCCAGTCTGGAGAAATGAGTAGTAGGAGACTCGCGAACGTGAATTTTTGACTGATGTTAGGATATCTTTGGGGATGCGTTGTATTCGGGGAGGTTTAGAGGTAGTCTTCGCAAGGAAGTCGGCGGTGTTTGGGTACGCCGCCTGGTATTGCCAGGTGGTCCATAGTTGTTCTTGCTCCACCGAAACCGGTGAAAGGATGTCGTACAGGCTTCGGTCCTCGTCTGGGGGCCAATTTTGTAAGGGATTCCACTTGAGGATTTCGTCATGCCACTGCCGTTCTATCTCTCTTTTCCTCTGACGACTATCCTGAAACTCGATATATTTTGGGTCTAGGATCAGTTGTAGGTCTTTCTGTTTCCGCAACGCTGAAAGATGCTCCTCTTGTTTGCTTAAGATCTGCGCATATTTGACTTGACCTTCGACGAGACGTTCAAGGATTGACAATGGCTCGAATAGCTGGGAAATATCCGACGCATCCTGCGCGGAGTTTTGAGTCTGGGTCGCCGGCATGGTGGCAATGCCAAATCTTTGTCCGGTAGCTTCGACATAGAAGGGAAGAGAAGAATTAGAGGCACCTTATAAATTTTGAAGTCGCACAAGATATTTCAAAGTGGTGTATGCGAAAAGGGGGAGGGGGTCCGCCTGGAGGCTCTGATTGGTGGTTGCGAGCAGGCAGCTGACTCCGCCCGGTCGCAAAAGCCCCTTTCTGAGTTTGAATTCAATTAAATAGCATCACATTGGTTTACTCCTATCTTAAAATAATGCAAGTGAACCTCCGTTTCGAATTCTAACGCGAGCCGGGCGGAGACGCACTCTTTCGGAGGTAGCACAAACTGCTTTCGGCGCTTACTTGCTCCGAGATATCTCACCAATGGATGCATCGAAGTTGCGACGGCGAGATGATGCTTCCTTCCGCTTGAACGCGAAGCTGGATATTTGCGGTCGAACGGGAAGTTACCATTGAGGTTTCAGCCCCCAACGTTAAAAGCCACCCAGCGCCTCAGCGGTTAAGACATGCTTTTGAAACAAAGAATAAGAAACCCCTGACTTCACGCGGGAGCCACGTGGATTAGTGCCGGTACGGTCAGCCGCACGCTTCAGTGAGGTGGAATAGAACTTCTTCACTTTTGCTAGTGGCTTCCATGGACTCGAGACACTTTTTCCGAGCATAAATCCGCCCAGTTACAAGTCACCAGCATCGAACCCAAGAAGTGATCACTGATCACCCCGTTTTGAAAAAATTGTAGAATTTCCAATGATTAATCTTCTTTTCTCCCCATTCCAATTTTCCACTTCCACACAACAGAACAGTGCATCTCTCCATCCATCAACATGTCTCAATACCACTTACTATAGCGCACCCCATCCTATTTTCCCTCGTTTATCTCCCAAAAAGCCCGGCAGGTCCTACGCCTCCTCTTCAGGAGGCGGCCCATGACTCTCCATAACCCTCACAAACCCACCTGGCGCGTCCTCGGCGAAGATAACCTGCAGATTATCCCACGTCTCTTCGGAAACCGGCCTCATCCTCTTCCACATGACGTTTTCAAACATCTCCAGCTGCTCATCCAAAGCCTCGACTGCGCCCCCACTCTTCACAGCAGAGACTAGCCCCTTCGAAAGCTCGAAAGCATCGAGCATAGCGCAATTGACTCCCTCACCAGCGAACGGCGTCATCAGGTGCGCTGCATCGCCTATCACGGTGGCTCCTGGGACGTGCTGCCAGCTGAAACCGATGGGGAACATAAAGAGTGGGTTTGCGCTGATTTCCACCCCGGAGTCACAGCCCGCAGCGAGGAGGGACTTGATGCCTTGACCCCAGTGTGCGAAGAGGCCTTCATTTTCTAGGAGCATTTTCTTCAGGCGAGAAGGGAGGATGGTTGCGGATGAGAGGCCGGAGGCCACCAGGTAGGATTCGGAGGGGGCCGATAGCATACAGTAGACGCGCGCTGAATCCAATGACCCTCTCTGCGCAATAACGGCTTTTCGGTCGCTTGGGGCGTAGAAAGAGCCGTTCCCAATCATGGCTGCTAGCTGGGGATAGGTTGTGGATATAGAAGGGATGGTGAGCGTTATACATGACACGGTGCTGAAGTGCGGTTTCTCGGTCGTGAGAAGAAGGCGGGTTCTGGACCACGCGCCGTCGGCCCCTATCACCACGTCAAAATCCTCCCCTTTTTCGATCGCTTCTCCGTTCTCGCTGTCCGGGAGGAGCGAGAAAAGGAGCTGGAATCGACCACCGTTCCCCTCTGATCTATCGCAAAGGAGCAGCTTGTGATTCCATTTTACATTCTGCTCCGGGATTGAAGAGAGCAGAAGATGTGTTAAATCATTCCTTGCGATCTCCGGCCGCTGACCACCCTGCCCATCATCGCTATACTTCACTTCCCCGGTCTTGTCTGTTATAATGCATTCCTCACTTCCCGCACGGTTCAAGGCTTGGAGCTTGTCCAGTAAGCCGCAATTCTCGAGGGCCAGGAGTCCTGATTCGGCATGGAGATCTAAAGAGCCGGATGGTACAAGGGGTGAGGTGGATGATGCGTTGGTGGGAGGAGGACGGAGGTCGAAGAGCATGTAGGGAATTGAGTTGTGGGTGAGGAGGCTGGCGAGCGTGAGGCCTGCGGGGCCAGCACCAATGATGGCAATTCGTGGTGTCTTTGATGACATTGTGTCTTCCTATAACTGAATCGGGTTTGGTTGGGGGTTGGGTTGTGTTGATTGTTCTGCGCTATCGTGATGCAGTGAAGTGCGTATTGGCAGATTTGCGTGTGCGAAGAAATTGCTTCGAAAACCTGTGTGAATTGAAGGGAGAGAGAAGTTTGCTTACCATGGAGGAAGAGAGATACTTATACCTGATTGCAATGTTTGGGTTGTGTGCTTCGGGCTCGAAGGGATGGAATTGTTTGTTGTTGAGGTTGCGAGCTGGAGATTTTCGATGGCCTTCGGAGGCAAAATGCGTTTGCTCGGGACCGAGCCGATCTCGCGTAGCGGGTATCGCCCCCTTTTGAAATCCGGACACGCCTAAACGAGAGCTCAGAACATCAAAATCTCTACGTTTTCAAACTAGTATTTTAAATTCAGCAGATTATATAAAATTCTCAATTAAGGGCTTATGGGATAGAGAAGAAGCAGCTCTCTTATTTTATATAGATTTCGAGATAATTCAATCTGAGATGAATTTATTCTTGCGACTGAAGAACGCGGTCAGCGCTTACTTGAGGGGCGTCCGGATTTCTACACCGTCGGCCTTCGTGTACCCCACGGACACCAACGCTCCAGTAACAGTGTCATTCGAAGCTGGTGGGAATTTGGGATTGCCGAAGAGCTCATAGCTAAAAGTGAGAAAATTGCAAATAAAGTTTATGTGTCCTGGAGCAGTGTGTTAAAGGAATACTCAAACTACTTAAGTTACTTAGGTAGCTGCTCATTGAGTATTGAGTAGAGTATAAGTAGCGCACTAATTGGTTGAGTAGAGTGTGAGTAGCACCCACTACTCTACTCTACTCTACTCTACTCTACTCTACTCATTTGACACACTGTCCTGGAGGAAAAGGGGGAATCTACCAAGCAAAGGGGTAAGGAAGCCTCTGTATATCTCAATCACGGCGTGTTTCCAGAAGGAGCACGTTGCTGCATGTTCTTGATATTTGAAGAATTTCTTATGGCTATTCGCATGGACGGTTGTTTTCTAAAGTAAGTTGGGAATTTGAGCCTTGAACAAGGATATCAATTAAGCAGCCACCTTCAGCTTCAATGTTCCATCCTGTCCCCACCCTTCCGGTCCATATCCCTTCCACCCAGAGCTCTCTCCCTCCCTAAAATCCACCACTCATCGCCATCCCCGCACCTCCTCCCATTGGACCCCCCGGATTCGCTTGCCCCAACCCCGTCTCCCTAATTTCCCTCCCATGCACAGGGTCATAATCCGGGAACTCATCCTTCAGACGCTGTTCTCTTTTACGTTCCTGAGCTGCTAGATATAGCCTATATTACTCTTCAATCAGATCTGTTTCTTGAGTAGGGATGGAAAGAGGAAGGACAGGGAGACGAACTCGTATCACTCTCCGTATTCGTCGTCACCTTCTTCTTGGGCTTTATAATCCTTCTTAGATCCGGGTTTGCTGACTTTCGGGGGTAGAGAAGCTCTCTGTTCGTTTTGTGTTGGAGAAGGAGAGGAGAGGGAGGACGTTTTCCAGGTGGGTTTATCGTCTCCGTTGAGGCCTGCGGGTGCGTCGCCCCGCAGATCGCTGCTTGTTCCGAAACACATTTTATTTGCAAGTTAAATAAAACGACAAGTCCGGGGTGCTTGAGATCATTGCCATCTTTCAGAAATTTTGCTTGAGAGTTGAATGGTTTTCTATGTAAGAAGTATGGGTGGAGCACAGCCTTGTGCTTGATGTAAAATGCGGGGTATGACTTGTTGAGTTCGAGGGTTGTCTAGCTTGACTTCCGGGACTAGCACGGCTAGGATGCCGAGCCTGAATTGTCAGGAGACTCAATCAGTGTTGATTTTACGGATGTGTTAAAAAAGAAACTAATGCCAGTCTGTGGTCATTGGAGGCATCATTTGGAAATACAGCCACAATCTTCGGTGAAAAGTGATCCGACAGAGAAATCGTTTCCGGAACAAAGAATCTTCATTATTACTCAAACTGTTTCTTTCAAAATCTTCGGCTTCCGCCACAAGGACCACATCCCGAGGCCACGGATGCCCCAACCAGGGTCGAATGTTTGGACTTCTACAGGTCCTCTGTTCGCGTCATCTCTAACGGCTACATCAAATCCAATATGACGTTTTCCATCTTCGCCTAAATATAGTCCGAACTGGTACTCTTTCTTTGCAAGATGGATTCTCGATTCGAGGTGAACCTTTTGGTCATCCTTCTCTTGGGCTGCGAATATAGGCTTGCCATCTGTGCCGAGGTCGTCCAGAAAGGTGCTTGCGTAGCAGTAGCTAAGAACGTCACAAAGGTTCCGCACAACTCGAGGTAAGCGATAACTAGGCGTAGGCCGGAGAATCACCAGAAATACTAAGTATACAATAAGTAGGACGTAGAAGACCCAAAAATTGATTGGCTCAATGGAGATTGCAACCCCATCTGGCGTTGGCGTTCCAACAAAGATACTGGTGGCGATAATAGGCGGAATGTTGGCCAACAACGAAAAGGTGGAGCACAATGCCACGCGCCAATGGCCGTTCTGAATTGCTTTGATCGTAATGGCTACGGGAGCTGTAGAGGGATAGTCCAATAATAGGTTTGCTGCCGCAGGACCCGGTTCCCTCATGCTTGCGAACGGCTCCGTAATTCTGTAGAACATATCCGCCATATCCCAGATACAACTAGAAAGGTTCATAAGAAGTACTGGGATGAAACGTAAGAGGAAAGATGCTTCGAAACTGTGGAGAGTTGCGACAGTCATGTGAACCGTACTGGGCGTAAGAAGCATGAACGTATCCTTGAACCCGGCTTGGATACGATGCTTGGCTAACCCGGCTGTTATTAACACAATCAAAACAGTGAGAATCATGCCAAAAGCAGACAGAGATATGTCGTTAACTGCCCATAATGCACTCCGGTAACGGTAATTTACGGAGCTTGGCAAACGAACTTGACCAAAGTCGAGCTGCAACTCTGGAAGATTATCAGCACGCTTATCCGGAAGTCTAATTTGCGAACCTACCATTGATTTCGGCTACTCGGTATGTGTAAGCGCCGATATTCGAACCACCTTTGTTATTGGAATTGAGAGATGATTTGACATTCGAAGCTGCGGGGCTGTCTGCGAGTTATATGAGTAAGTTCCCAAGAGAATCGGGGTGTCATTATAGTTACTGGTATCGGGAAGCCGTTGGGTGCAAGCCAAGCCGTACCAAATGGTACCGTTGCATCTATGCATCCAATATCCTAGCCTCAAAGTTCCGAAATGAGAAGAACGTGTTGCAAGTATGCTTGAGCACTCCCTGGGAGTAGCGAATTCTAGCCCTTCAAGCATAGGAAAAATGTTCGAGCCTTGAACTAGTGCAACTTGATCTGCGATAGTGACAGGATCCCACTTAAGTCCGGTCTCCCGATCCCATAACCTAGCCAAAATGTACGTTGTGGCTAGGAGTAAACAAACATAAATAGCGATCAGCGCATACCCGACTTCGTATAGGACAGCGACAGTCCAACCATCACTACCAGCGGTGATCAAAACAAATGAAGCTTTCAATGGAACCAGGAGGATCATCATCATAACTTGAAGCACGAGGCAGATGAATAGCAACCAGTGTCCATTTCTAGCCACACCCATCACATTTGCTGGATTGAATGCTGTAGTTGCGTATTCGTTCAAAAGCGTTCGTTGAAGCCTGTGATGGGCCTTCTCGTGATTGTTTTGTCCCGCCATTGAGATGTACTGCGTTGTTCTTGCCAAGGCAGTCATGATCGATCGCCACCAGATTATGGTTAACGTTCCGATGGCAACTGGAACGTATCGAAAGGCGAGGCTGGTGCTCAAGGTGTGAACGCGTAAGTAGTGTGTCTTGTTGTGCGCAATGAGTATCAAGGTGATAATTCCGCCTAGGCAGGCAGAAAAGAAGAGCAATGTGGCGGCGAGGAAGAATTTCCGGAGTACGAATGGTTTGAAGTCGAGCTTGGGGTATCCTTCGGCGACCGCGATTGACGTTTTAATTGGGACGTAGTCAAAGTCTAGAAAGGAGTAAGCTAAAATACCGCAAGAGGAAAGATTGTGGGTATACATTTAAGTCGGTTTGCCGCAACGGACACGCCATTAATGTCATTTTTCATGTTTACTTCTTTGAAGCTGGCGCTCTCAGGGCTGTTTGATGATCTTCTCTCCCTCAAGACAGGAACAACCCCTCGCACAGGCTCGGTAAGAACACAATTTCCATTCTCTGAAGCTGTCTTTTCCTCCGATAAGCACGTGCTGCTGCCCTTCGACGTCGTTTTGACGGACGAAACATATTCTTGTGACATATCTGGAGCGGTCGCCACTCCCATTGTAGGTTCTGTTGGCCTTTCCATTCTGGACTGTTATTCATGCCACATGCCCCATTATCAGCGACGATATTCACAGCTAAACTCAGAAATGAGGGTGCTTTTGAGCTTAAGTGCATAACTTATCGAGAAAGATGATGCGTCATGGTGCGGGAGGCTGCATCTGGGTTGTGTGGCTATGCACTGCGAGGCGTTTTAAGCCACTGCCTCGATAGGCAGCCATCCTACGAAAGGTGCCTTGCAGTCCTATCAGGTCTTGCTCGCTCAACCATAGAGTATGTATCCAGAATCGACGGCTGGTGATTTATCGATCACTAATGTGAAAATCCAGTTTCTTGAGAGATCTGGGTAGGAGCCTCGACTTTCGGCTCGCAAACTGGGGCTGAACACGACAGCCAACCAAAACTTCTACCACGCGGACCAAAACGAAAATATCTTTTTTATGATATTTCTTAAATGGCGAAGACAGTGGTAGTAATATTAAGTTCGCTAGCAAGCACCAAACCAGACAAATAATTGTATTGCTTCGGCACAACCTACAACCAGAAGCAACTCCCTGCACATTATCGAGTTGACACCATTTGTAAGATAAGGCCGGATACGAGTAAAAAATGATTGATCACCAGAAGGAGTAGCAGGAACGAGACTGAGCATGGGATATCACAGCCCGAGTACTTTGAGCAGAACGTGAGATAAGGGTGAGTACAGCTCGGCCTTGGCATCTGCCATGGGAGAGTTATACAAAGCCAAGATTACTCTTCTTTCTGGCTCCCACCCTCCCCAAGCCGACATTATTTCGGACTAAAAGGTGAAATACTCAACAAAACACATCTTTCACAGCTCTGCACCAAAGGTTTTTGAGAGCCACTTGGCTTAAAATAAAGTACGGCCACTTAAGGATCCCCCAACGGGCAGAGACATACGAGAGAATGCTAGGAATACTGGCTGAGAAACACTCATTCCAGGACTTTCATCAGTCCGTATATGCCTAAGAACCCCAGAACCCTAGAACCCTCTATAGTTCCCCAAACTCGCGCACCTCTCCCGCTCCCACGCACCTACGCCTTCTTCTCTTCTTTCTTGACCTTCAAGGCCGGCAACTTAAACACCTTGCTCACACCCCCCTTAACCTTCTTCCACCCGCCAAACTCAATCTGCGGCGTCCACGTCAAGATGCCAACCCAGGGCTGCACATTATAATGCACCTTCAGCACCACATTATCCGTTTCCGCGACCTTGCCCGTAGGAGCCGTAATCTGGTATTTTGCTTTCTGATTCTTGAGCTCGATCTTGCCCCTATTTTACATCAACCATTGTCCACCTTCGCGTTCCCCAAATTCGATTCCATTAAAACGTACCTTGACGGATCAACACTCTTCCCCTTCGCGCTTCTAATCAACTTCTTCATCGCTACGGGTCCAATGTTCTGCAGATGGTCCGCAGACGGGTTCGTAATAATTGTGTCCCAGATAACAGCCTCGTTCGTGAGTTCCGTGGAGGTGGAGTTGGGCCATGAGGCGGACACGTAGACGAATATTTGTTTCGTATTCCAGGTGAAGAGAGAGGAGAGGTCGGCGGAGAGGGAGAACTTGATTACGGCATATTCTTCTTTTTTCGAAGAGTAGTAATGTGGTCTGCCTCGAACTCTGCGGTCGCGATTAGCCTGCTTGTCTTGGAAGGAGAATTGGGAAGTGAGGGAACACAGGCGACGTACACTTGAACATCTTTTACTGCTACATTTGCGCTTGGTGTTCGTGGTGCTATCAGATCTGAAGCTGCGATCAGGGCTGCGACGACGAAGGCGACGGTTGTGAAGAATCCGAAGACATTTTGGATGCGGACGATGCTGGAATGCATTGTTGCGTGGCCCTTTGGCGATCGCTTCTTTTTGCTTGGATAGACTCTGTTATGGCATGTGGTAAGGAGTGTGGGAAGAATTAAAAAGACCGTCGCGTCGAGTGGTGGTGGGGCAGGGTTTTGAAGTGAAGTGTTCTCTGGACTTTCAACTTTAACACGTCTCGCCTCAGCCTTGGAGCTCGGGCTGCGTGGCTCCGAATTGATACTAGCGCAATGTGGGGTAAATCTGGATGTGGCAGTCTTTCTTCACTCCCTTCTTTGCTACAGTTTTGGAGGTTTCCTGATGAGAGAAGCTTGGCCGCAGGGGTGGTAGAATTGCACTGGAGTACGTTCCTCTGCTTGAACCATGAAGGGCCCGTCGCCACGAAAGAATAAATCGGCAATCACATGCAAGAAAGCTCCGAATCTGAATCATTCTGTTCGCTGCCAAGAAAAAGAAAGTCGTTATCATTCAAAGAAAATAATTCCCATTCCGGCGCCCTATCGCATCGCATTGCAAAGCAGAGGTATATCCTAATATCCCAAACAAACTCGCTTCATTTGCTTGTGTATCAATCCGCCGATTATTCAGCTCCACTTCTGAACCGTTATCGAATCCATCGCAGATCAAGCCCTTAAAACTACCATCCAATATCGAAATGCATTCGTGAGTAGCTCTTCACTGGACTGGTTGTACGATCGTTCCGTATCCATTGCCTCCGCTCTGTACCCGCTCGCTGTAGACGCCTGGGGCACGAGCAGCAGTGAAGCGACCCTCACGAGCTTGCTCTCGGCGATCGAAGTAAACGTATTCGAGGTAGAAGGCGTGGATGTGGCCGGGGATGTATCTGTAGATTGGACATCAGCTGTTGTCGGTGGAATGTGGGAAGCGGGGTTGAAATTGGTCTGAGCAATCATGGAAATGAGAGGGAACGAACCCCAGTAGTGTGAGGCAGATGTTGATCAAGAGGTCAGCTCCGCAGCCTGCGACGATGTAGACACCGATCGGTGGCACTGTTCATGTTAGCAGTCCATTCTGTGGTGCATCGGCAGCTGAGGACTTACCAAGGAGGGTAATGAGGATCAGGAAGATTGCGGCAATCATCTTGGTGTTGGAGATGTTCGTAACTTTAATTTTGCTCTTGAAAGGGGGTGTGTTTGGTGGTCGTGTGAGATTCGGATTGTTGGAGAGGAGGGAAGCTCGTAGCAGGTTGGATGTTTTAAAGACAAAGCCTGCGCTGTTACCATGCCTGAGCTTCCATGGACGTGGCTTGGCCTCGCTTGTGGCACGATGACGTACACACAAGGCTCCTGACTCCCGAGAGACTTGATTTCAGGTACAAGATCCTGGAGTAAATGATTGGAGATTGCGCAAAGTTGGCAGTTTTTATGGGCTGAACCAATAGTAGGAGTAACTGACAGCGATACTTTGTTTCTATTAATAAATATTCTAGCAATGATTGGTCTTTGCTCGTGGTTGTTATCAGATTGCTCCCAGGCACTCTTGCCAAGTCATTCTACTTTATTGGAGCCTCATCACCTCATGCATCAGACCGCCAAAAAAAAAAAATTATTCAATGCCTCTTAGTGAGAGACCGTCTCCTTAGTTGGTTTTAGAGCGATGTGCCTTTCTTTGCTAAGCGTTCAATTTATGGATTGCTTGGCATGCACGTCGCAACAAGGGGTGAATTTCACTCGAAAAGTTTGTGTTTCCTAAGTGCTGGAGATTTTCACAGGAAAAGGCTCATTCACGTTCAGAAACCATCAAAGTGCATAAATGAATGTATAATGCAAATATTTACTCGAATCTAAAAAATCCATGATACCATCCCATCCCAATGCAATGCAACGCCGACGCAACCGGAAAATGCAAAATTATCACTCATCAGACACCCTTTAGTTGATCTCAATCAGGCCAGGCCCAAACACTGCTGCCTTCGCAACACCATCAACAGTCGTCAGATCACCGGAGGCGAGCACAACAGCAGCCAAGGTAAGACCGTTACCGAAGTTGGCGGGGTCGAATGGGAAGTCGGCAGTGATCTTGACCTTTCCACCGTTGAGATCGATATCGAGCTTCTTGACCTGGGCGACGAGAGGTGCGTTCTGTTGGTTGATGAAGACAAGTTCGAGGCCGGAGCAGTCAGACTTCCATTCTGGAGCAAGGCCAGTCTTGGGGATGTCGAAGCTGAAGTCGATGTCTTGGTTTTGCGGCTGAATGTTCGTTGTGTCGACAGACAAGGTACCGAACACCTTGAGGTTGATGGTGTTGAAGTTGGGACATGAGCCTGGAACGATGAAGTTCTGGTTGAGAGCGGAGAAGGCGAAGTCTCTGGTGCTGGCGGTCAAGAATGGGAGGGCGCTGGGGATCTTGTTCTGGAAGATACGGTAGAAACCGTTCTGTTCACCTTCTTGACCAATCACTGAGGCAATGCCTCTGATCAAGCCGGCATCTCCATCAACCCCGAGAAGCGTTGCAACATCCTGAAGTGTACCCAAGACCACATCGGTGAAGGTGGAAGCGAGGGCAATGGCGTCTTTGAGGTTGTTGACGGGGAAGTTATATTGGCAAGGAAGGACGGGTCCGGCGGGGTCGAATTTGGCCAGCGCGTTGTTGGCGTTGATGGCGTGAAGCTCTTCTTGCGCGAGAACGGCGGTGACAGCATCCTGGATGAATTGCATATCTTGGCTGTCATCCCAGAAGCCAGGAGCCTTGGACTCGATAAGATTGAGGAGCTGCTCGAAGTACGAAACCTCGAAGAGCTCATTGAAGGCGATGAGTCTCAGAGATGTGAGGGTATCGGCTTTCGGTGGCGGGGGAGGCGGGTTGCCGGATGGAATGGAGCCATGTGCTTGGGTTTCGATTGCAGCCAACTCGCCTGCCGAGGGAGTGGGAAAGTGGTTGCCCAAAGGATTGTTGTCGAATGAGAAAGGCGCGGCGGAAACGACGGCGAGGCACGAGAGGCCAATTAAAGGAAGCGAGATCTTGGAGAGCATGTTGGCTGATTAAGAACGAAAGATGGTGTTCAAGGAAATAGTGGAAAGAAAACAGATGATAGGAAAATAAAGAGATGTTTGTTGTGTTGTTGTTTGGATGGGTTGGATGCGGTATGAGGATATTATTTTGACAGCGGGAGCCAGCACCCTTTATACAATGCTGACCATCGTGGACTTCGACGATGGGGATGGGATGGGATGAGGCCAGCGGCCGCGCAGTCAGACGCTTGCTGGCATGCTGATTTCCAGATGGGCTTCGGGTGGCCCGCCCCTGTGGCTCGCAGGCGGAGCTGAGGGAGGGAAGATTCGGAAGATTTGGAAGATTTGGAGGATGGGCGGGATCATGGGGATAGGCGGGATGGCGGATGGCAGGCTGACGGCCAGCACAGCAACGATGCTTAGCACACGACGAGTGGCGGGGCCAATCACAGCGAGGCTAATCAGAGCAAGGCCAATCACAGGGCGGCAAATCAGAGCAGGGCCAATCACGGCAAGGCCTCCGCCCGAGCCAGCAAACCGTAAACAGCGCCGCGCGAGGGTGGGGGGGCAGGGGCCCAACACGAAAATAGCGCGGGTATCAATTAGTCCTACTGGTAGCTGCGGCTGGACAGACGCCGTTTGCGAGGGAGAGCCTGCCACAGTGCCACCCCGCGCACAGCCACAGCCACAGCCACCAGATCGAGGTGCTTATTTATCTTATCTTATTTTATTTTCGGCGCTGCTCTTCACCGTCGCCGTCTAAATCGGGGCATCCTGGCATCCTACGTAGCACCCGGTGCCTCGATTTCTTCGTAGTTGTATTTGAGAAGCGGCCAGCTCACGGCCGCCTCACGGTCACCTCACGAGTCTCGCCTCTCATCTGCCGGATGACGGATTACGGAGTAACAGGAATAGTGCTGTTGTTGATGGTCTTTGTCGCGTAAGTCCATCCCCATCCCCACATCCATGTCCATCGAAACGGATACGCCAATCGCGAGCAACCACCCTAGCATGAACTGGGCCTAGCTAGGCTTATTCATCTTCTCACCACGACCTCCTTGCCTTCTTTGCAGGCACACATTCATCCCATCTCCATCTTAAGCCAGTCAGCAGTGCAGCACTCCCGTTGAGCTCTTAAATTGGCTGCGGCACAGAAGCTGGCCTGGCTGGCTGGCTGTCAGCGATGGCGCTCTCGCTGCTTCCGTGCATCTTTGCGGCGACCAAGCGGGACGCCTTTTCTCCATCAGCTCTTTCCACCTGTCAGGAGGCGCAAATGGCGAATAACAAGCTTCTCAGGAGCGTGGGTGGCCGGGGACCGCATTGCAAGTGCAAAAGAGACTGTCGTCAGAACCCATGTATTTTTTCAGCCTTGTGCCATCTCTCCACCGCTGCTTTCTCCAAGTCTCTGCCCCGGATTTAGTAAGCACTGCAGTCGAAAATGCAGACAAAAGCCACTCCAATCCTTCATAAACGGCAGCTCCAAGGGTCCTAGCGAATCTCTTTCTGAGATCCCCGCACCCCTGCACGGCCATCACATCCTCAGCACCCCGTCATGCATTCTCTTATTGATGGTGACCAACAATTAATGTCGAAGGATCCGAGGTCGAGCAAATTCAAGACCAGGACGGGCTGCTCTACCTGCAAGTGAGTTGAAATAGCCAATTTCCTATCCGGTCATACACGTTTCATGTTGCTGAACCCATGAAGGGCAAGAAAAGCAACATGTGATGAGGAAAAGCCTTTTTGCGGTCGATGCACGAGGATCAAGGCCCGATGTGGAGGTTACCCTAAGCCACGATTAGCGACTCCTCATCGGCGACCGCTCTTACCGAAATCCTCAGAGGGGGGAGTAGTCCTCTGGTGTCCAATCGCTGCACGGCTCTTCGAATCAGCGCAAGACTTCCGCTGCTGCCGGATCTTTTCGAGGAAACTGCGGGTCAGATTTCTGAACCATTTGTGACTAGTCTCTGGAATCGTGTGATGCCCCAGGCCAGCGAAGCCGTGCTCTTTGTCCGGTATGCAATCATCGCCGTAGCCAGAGGCTTACTCCCATAATCATTTTGCTATTTTTATGTTTGACAACACGGGAGCTTTTCGGGAGCCGTCACGGCCTTTTGTCTTGGAATCCTGGGTCTTTGTGTCCTTAGCTAATCCGTCTAACACATGACAGCCTTGAGTAAGATCCCAGGAGACGCCGATTACACGCTAATGATTTTCGGAGGGGGAGTTGAGGCCTCCCGTCTCTAATTAGAACATTAATATCCCCTCTGACAGTATGAGAAAGCCTTGAAATGAATGGGACGAGCTGTTGAGCTTGGGGGGCACGACCCGCGTAACGCTTTAATCGCATGCTTGCTGTCCTTCTCGATAGAGAACTCACAAGGACACCAAAGCCCAGCTTCTAGTCTGGCATCCAGTGGCGTTGCGCTCTTTCATGATTGGATTGGCAAGGCCAATGGTGGTCCACAACATGTCCATCACCCAATGAACACGTAGTAGAGAACGACCTTTTACAGTACAAGCTTTTGCACGACTGGACATCCGTGTTGCTTTCTTTCTCGATACCAGGCCGCTGGAGTTACATCAGCGGGTGATGAATGATACCGCCGTGATTTTACAAAGCATGCCGCCTTCTTTCCAGACGTTGTGTGAGTCGCGTACTTCTTGGTAAACCAACTCTTTGATTATGTTTGTGCTGCCTGGGCTGGGACGAGATGCAATTTCTCAATGTTTCCTATCCGATTGTTGCCTCTGGTAGCGTGAGTGTAGCTCAAGCTGACAAAAGTTTAGGCAGATGATCATGAGAAGAAATTTTCATTTCAGAGCCAGAGCCCAATTGGAGGGATAGTCGGCAGCTTTAGCGGGGGCTCGAGAAGTGTCTTGATGGGAGGAGACTGCTAATTTTAACCCAGGTGAGGTCCCTTTTAGTAATGTCAAAGCACCCACTCCCGAGATTCGGGGGACCTGCGAGCACTTCCTGTCGGATATCTAGAGGTGGGTTGAAGCAACCGGAAGTTGGCTCGATCCTTTAAAACAGACCAGACCCCGCTGAAAGAATCGTAGCCGTTCTTCTCCAGATTCGTGTTAATATGAACGTCATCACATTACTCGGAATGTGTTTCGCTTCAGAAATGTCAATCGACGAGCTCCTTCCCGAATTTCGAGCAACCACGAATCTCGCTGCCTCCATTGTCGGGGAACTAATTGGCTCGTCCCAAGAGAGCGCCTTCTATCGATTCGACCTCGGAATCATACCAGCTCTAAATCTCGCCGGAACTCATTGCAGAGATCGAGTTGTTCGTGGCAGGGCGACCGATCTTATGCTCTCTTCTCAAATCAGAGAGGGTGTCTGAGACTTTTTTTGCATTGGGTCGATTCCGAATCGTGTCCCGATTGAGGAAGAGGGTGGACTGCCAGGAGAGGATTGCACTCCCGAATCTCGAAACATTTTAATCACAAGCGTTGATGACGATTGTGGTAGGTGTCCGAGGGAATCCTTTTCATATTCTGGACATCTATTATGATTCTCTCTCTCGACGATGTCTCAACATTTATTCTATACGCAGCGAAGCGGACCGCAAGACGAGGATCTGGTATTTAACAAAAGCCTTGTGATTTGGGGAGTTCGCATCTCCCTGAGGAGCTATTCAGACTACAGAAATGGCTTAATGAAAGCCTGGTAAGTTTTGAGGCTCTATTTGGCGATTCAAGGTTGATGTAGAGACGAAATCCCACTATTTTGCTCATTGCTCCTGAAGTATGTGCATCATTTATGATTGGTGATTTCATTAATATTGTATTGGACTATCTTCCGCTGTTCGACATATGTGAATTCCGCAGCCCGAAAATCAAGCCACCTCGGGTCATACTTAAAAGGAGAGATCATATTCAGACTTAGTATTAGACTCTTGCAATATGTCAGAACCTTCTGTGTTCTTTGCCAGGAGCCCTGCTGCCTCCCTAACTTGCCGGTATCGCTCACCCTGCCTCTAAGCATTACCCCTCTCTGCCTTTAGTTGCTCTAATTCATTCTGTTCCGGCCCAACCGCGAATTAGTCCATTCGCGAATAATAATAATAATACTTTTCCAAAAATTATATTAAATTAGTAGTAAACTTTCTAAGGTTATATAATAAAGGCTAAGACCTTTATTATATAATAAATATATATATAAGACTAGAAAATATAATAAGGGTTTTTTTAGCTTAAAAATCAGCTTATTTTTAAGTATTTAATTACTTAAATAATAATTTAAATCTTATTTAAATAGGCTTTATTTTTTAGTATTTTTAAAATATATATTAAAAAAAGTTATTTATATTATAAATTACATTAAATTAGTAATATTACTAAATAAAGTTATTTGAGAATTATTATATATGTTACGGTTGTTACGATATACGGTACTAGTAGGGGTTAGACTAGAGCGGGAGAGGCATCTGGCATCTGAGAGAGGCATCTGGCATCTGAGAGAGGCATCTGGCATCTGAGAGAGGCATCTGGCATCTGAGCGAGGCATCTGTAGTCACCTGATCATTGCACGTGACCCCGAGCTTAAGCTAGCACGTGGGCCCGTGCGTAGCTCGCGATTATTTAGATCCGAGGCTCCTTCGAGATCCTCTTCTCTCTTTAGCTTTGAATCGTCGAAATAGAGACAGTTTAACCACGCCTTCCAGGCCCTAGATCTTGTGCTCGTGACAATATATTACTTTATTATAATTATAAAGTTAAGCCTAATTAATTATTAAATATAAATAGCTAGTTTTAAAGCAGGAGCACTGGGTTCAGGTACTAATAGAGCGCCATGGAGTACTCCTAATTCAATAAGATGTGGTTGAAAATATCGTAAATTGAAGTGAGGAGTGGGCCTAAAACTATAAACTTTTGTCGGCAGGCTCGTAAGGGACCACGTCCCAGCCCGCGGGGTGACAAGCCCTACCACAGGCGCAGGGCCTACTCCCTACCTCCGTACGCCTACTTAGGTAACCCAATCCGCCCTACCCTGACGCTTCCCGTTCCCTAGCACGCTCCTTAACCCTACAATTCCGACATCCAAATAAATCGCGACTAGCTAATATGAGCTCTGAATTATATTCGCCCCTCGATTTCCTAATGGGAGCGCGCGATTGGCTGATCGGAGGCCTATTGACCAATCGCTCGTATTGGTGAACGGGAGATAACGGATTGAGCTAACATGCTTTGCCTCTACAATATGTCTGAAGGCTGCTCATGTTGTATTGGTGGCGCAGAAAATTGTGCCAATTCTGGAAAAGCTTCCGTGCAAGACGAGGACTGTACGTGGGTTTGTCGAGTGGCTGACCTGGCCCGCCCTGCTCACGGTTTTTGAGGAAGAACAACTGCTATAAATATATTACCGCTCGAGTAGGTACCCAAACCTGCAAGTCCTGCATGAGAGATAACCAGTGTCTTCAGCGACGAATCTAGACTCGAATCGAGGATTTCGGAAAAGCTTGATTGGATGCACGGTGCAGCGGCGCAGCACTCGTTGGCGGCAAACGAAACTCGACAGGTCCCGGTACCCCGTCCGCCTAGTGATAGTCGCGAGATTCTTGTGCTCGTGGTTCGAGCCTGCCTAGCATTCATTTTCCACTCCGCCTTCAGCACATTTGAAAGATTAAAGTCATCCCTAAAGTGCTTTTACCTTCATGCTAGTTCAATTCTAGCTTTCAGTCTCGAGCAAATTCTGTAGTAATGGCTAGACCGTTTTCAAGAGAGCAAGCCAACGAGCACATACGAGAAATTCGTCGACGGAAAGGCGTGGATAATCTAGACGGGCAGGAATCTGATAACATGCGCGATCTGGATCGAACACTAAACATGTGAGTATCAAAATAGATCTTTTCGGAATGCATTAATAACCTGTTCTAGACTTTCAGATCAGCTCTACGAGAAAGAAACACACTTTCTTCTCGAACTGATCCAGAATGCTGACGATAACACTTTTGACGAAGTAACTCCATCTATTTCGTTCACCTGCAATAGCTACAATGGCCGATGGACTCTCGAAGTTGAATGTAATGAGGTTGGATTTAAGCAAGAAAATGTCGAAGCGATATGTCGCATTGGAGACAGCACGAAGAGAGCCGACCAGCGAACCCGAGGGTTCATCGGAGAGAAAGGAATCGGCTTTAAGTCTGTATTCAAGGTTGCCAATGTTGTCCGGATCCATTCAAAGGCTTACTCGTTCATGCTCGACCGGAGAAAAAGGCTTGGCATGATTGCACCCATTGTTGATAGATCACCTTGGCAAGTGACGCGAGACGATCGACCTGAAACCCATATGCTGCTGGAGCTTAACAGCGAGTCAGAATCTCGAATCATCATCGACGAGCTTGTTGAATTAGAACCACAACTTCTAATATTCTTGCGCAAAGTATCCAAACTACATATCACCACGCCTGGCAAGGAATTTCGATTCAAAATTGAGAAGTTGGTAGAGGATCAGTCGTTTGATGGGAAGGAAACCGCAAGGTTAACTAGCACGTCTGCTCGTCCGTCCATGACGTCCTCATTAGATCGCCGGACGGACAAAAAGTACATTATTGTGCGCTACCAAGAGAACATACTTTCCACGGATACCAGAAGAGTCAACGTCAGAGAGACTGAGGTTGTTCTGGCTTTCCCCATCGACAACGATATGCGACCATTTCTGCAAAGCCAACAAACATATGCTTATCTGCCTATAAACAACTATGGGTTCAATGTGAGTCACCTCAAATTACTTTTGCTGATGTCGGTCGCTACTAAAGTATCTTTGATAGTATCTCATTCAAGGAGACTTCTTATTAGTGGCCAACAGAGAGAGTGTCGATTCCTCAAGATGGAATGACAAAGTCCTAAAGGTTGTTCTTACAGCTTTTGTGTCCAAGGCTGTTTCTCGATTCAACGAAAATCTAAGTAATCGATCCACCGGTGTTCGACCGTCTGTCGGTCTCCGCTACACATGGCCCCTGTATCTTAGAGATGGAGGAGGGACTAACACATTCTGGTGCAGACTCAACAGATGGATCTTTGCTGATTTGGCAATAGCTGAGGTTCTAGAGTCACGATACAATGGTCGACTCTGCCGTCCTGGAACCTTATACTACATTCCGCAAGATTACAGATCACGTGAAATGCCATTGGTTGAAGACGAAGCCAGCGCCAAATGCCATTTATCTTTTGCATACGATGCTGCGGACGCTGATATTTTTCCAATTTTATACCAAATGGGTGTCAAAAAAATGAGAATCAACGATTTGGTGCGGGAACTGAGAGAACTCATTACCAAAAATGGCATTTCATACCTCGAAGCCCGATCAAGACGTTGGCATACAAAGATTGCAGACCTTCTCCGTCGGCAAGATAATAGCGCTTTGATTGCTGATATTCCACTAATACCACTACGTGATGGAAGATGGGTCCCGTTTGATGAGGGGCACATTTTTCTGGAAGAGGACACATCGAACTCAGCGATACCGGGAGGATTAGACATCCGCTTGGTCCAAGCCGAAGCTTGTCAGGATCCTAGTCGAAAGGCTTTTTTCAAATGGCTTGGTATTAGAAGGTGTGACCGAACTGAAGTCTGCCGGATGATCCTGGAACGCTACTCTCCTCTTCGACAAAGAACACTAATCGAAGCAGTTGATGATGTCAACTATCTGTTCCAAACGCCTCACTCTGCCAATATCCCTTCCATTCGACATCTTTTACTATTGCAAGCGTCACCAACTTCATATTTCAAGAGGGGCCACGATCTTTATGTGGAAGAACCTGACAACACCACTATTATAAGCAAGTTTGCTGACCACCCTGCGAGTAACATCTGGCTTCTGCATCCTTCATATATCGCCAAAGCCCGCGAAATAGGAGAAGAGTCAGAGTTTGTGAGCTGGATATGCTCCAGCCTCGGTGTATCCACGAAACCACGTCTAATTGACCCCAGGCAGCGGTTGACTCCGGAATTCGAATTTCTTTGCGCCAATGCAAGCAAGGATTTATTACTACTGCTTCGAGAGAGCTGGGATACTTATGCTTTTCAGCTTGAACCAACGGATTCCAGATTGAATACGTCGCTCTCGGAGATGAGGGTACTATGTACAGATGGTCAGATGCACTGCCTAGACCAAACGGTCTTGCCACGTGAACTTTTGAAATCTGCAGGTCCGAACCTGTTTTTTGTTGATATACCTGATGCAGTCGATCTTCGTTGGAACAAACTCACCCACCTTGGCGTTCTCTGTTCGAGAACCGTGACCCTATACCGGCGCCAGCTGAAGGCTCTCGCGCTACTTCCCGTGAATGATAGCACCACAACAAAAGCAGCCACAGAAGCAGCATATACCGGACTACAATCTTCCATGTCTGGACCTAGCGCCAGAGTCAAGTAAGTGAAATAGCAATGCTTTCTGCAAAGATTAACCTAAATAACATCGTTTAGAGAATATTTCGAAACTTATCGACTTATATTCAACCCAGAACTCAACCGATGGGTGAACATATCCGAATGTGTATGGAGCGGGCCCAGGCTGAGCATAGTATTTGATATCAGTTCGCAGTATCCGGAATATGGTCAGTTATTTCAGCGTTATTTGGAGCTTGGAAACGTGGACGCCAATCACATCGTCAGAGAGTTGTGTACAAGAAGCACGACTCAGATTGAGAGATTGAAAGAACTGTTGGTTCTGCTCAGCAAGTATCTCAAAAATCCATTTCCCCAAAACCTCATTACAACGCTTCAAGGGATGGCAATATTTCCTGTCAGAACTCTCGATGGAAGTGTCGTCAGCATGAGATATGAAGATGTTTGGTACATAGCAGATCGACCAAGCTTACTGGCAAGTTTCCATGGGAAGCTCTCCCTTCTGGATTTTGATGTGAAAACCGCCCGAACACTTCAACCTTTAATCATAGCTTTGGATAAGACGTCGCGGCTACTTTCTATGGCCGATAAGCCAAAATTGGAGAAAATTGGTACGCCTGTCTACCACGAACAGAAGACCATGGATCTAAGGCTTAGAGCAGTCCATTTTTCGTCGTAAGTATAAAGCTTGATGGGAGTGATATTTACTGATCGTTCAACAGACTGGTTGCCGAATCCTCCTTCGAAGAAAAGGCACAGCTTCTGCATAGCTTGAGTACTCTACAAGTTTGGGTCGTCCCAGAGGTTCGATTGATTCACAACGTCCACGGCGTGCTTGGCGTGGAAGAAAAAGGCAGTGTCGTATTCAACAACACCGACAATACGAGACTCGACATTTACATTTCTCGCAATGAAACGACACCGGCGGTCATCAATCATGCACTGTCTCGTCAGTTCATACAATATTGCGGAATCCCGAATGACCAATATTTGATGGTTGAACCCATCCTAAGTTATCCTTCCGAAGAGCTTCATCAATTTCTTAACGAGCATGGACTGGAAGAATCACTTGACAGTCTTGACACATACATGAACGATCCTCAAACCAATAATGGGGTCAACGAAGATGAGGGAGAAGATGAGATTGTCGAAATATCTCGCGACAGCTTTGTAGCACGTAGAACGCGTAATCCAAGTAGGACTACTGCTCCCCCAGAGCCAGATATTGAAGTCTCCAGACCTCCTTCCTTGCTGGGGGAGAGAGTACCACAATCAAACGGAGGTATTTTGTCTGTGAGGAGAACAACTCCTCTGCCAAGCACGAGATCATCTTCATTCAGGACTTCCTCACGAGAACGAACGAATCATGCAGATCCTGTATTTGGATTCAACACTGATGCAAGGAACGCATCCTCTTCAGGCGTCAGGCCTTCCTTGCTGGGTGATGGAGTATCAGACTCAAACGAAAGCAGTATTTCTGCCGATAGAGCGGATGTTCTGCTGAGCACGACGACTCCAGTCATGAATCCTTCGCGAGAGCGAATGAATCGTGCGAATCCAGCGCTGGAATCCAACATTGAGTCATTTTCAGGCGTAAGGAGCGAACGTCCTCCAGCTCAACAGGGATCCAATCACGCGAGGCAACTCTTATCAACTGTGACTGACAATGATCGACGCATTGGCTTACTTGGAGAAAAATTAGTAAGCCACCTTCCATTCCCAACCTCTCCACGAGTTCCCGCTCATTGTGACAGATCAACAATTGGCTCTCTCAAGAACTCCAAGACTGGGATCCGACTCGTCACTGGACAAGCAGAAATCGCAATGAGGTATACGCAAGCAATCAATTTTTAGGCAATGAGAGAGACTACGCCGACTTTACCTATGCGGATACTCGTGGAAACTTGACGAGTCTGCTGTCAAGATGTGGTTACATCCAGGATACCTACACTGCAACATGGTTGAGGAGTCCCCCAACTTACCACTTGGAAGTCAAGTCTACGACAGCATCCTGTAATGAGCCATTCTATATGAGCAATAACCAAGTAGAGAAGGTAAGAGAATTGTCTTCCGCATATCTCAAGCAGATTCGACAATTGCTAACATAAAAAGTCACGTGGCTGGACTTTCTCATGGACAAGCAATGTAGTGCCACAAAATGTGTACGTGCTGATAAGGGTCTATAACCTCGAGAGGCAAATAGCACCAGGATTCAAAGCATACATGGATCCATGGGCTATGTACTTGGAGCGCAAATTGAGCTTCCTTGCTCGAGGAGATTATGCTGTGACTTCAAGCACTGATGAAATAGACCTCACTTAACTGGCTCGAGGAAGATAGCTTTGCTCTTAATGTTTTTAGGATAGTGAAACACCACAAAAGAAAATGTAATTGATGTGTTATTCATATTCATTGTCATCCTGGTATCATCGTCTCATACAGTTTCCCGATTCCCTTGTAGCTACAAAATAAACGCCTCGCCTATGCAATTGCCTGTTCTCCTTCCCTAGACGGTTTATCGTTCTACTGAATGCATCTATCATCCCATCGTACATTATATCATGGTCTCGGAATCGAGGGAGTTGGGGGGGAGGTATTCGTGTCCAGCCTGCATCTGCAAAACCTTCCTCCAGTTCAGGTCTCTGTAGGAACAGAACCTCTCGAGCTGTCCAGCTTATTCTTTCCCTTCCTGCCCCTCCCGTGTAACCGAAGTCCCCCACCAAAACACGCGAGTTTATACCAAAAACCCGTAAAATACCTTATTTTCTAATAATTAATATCTTAACTCACGACGCCTTTATTAATAAGCGGTTTTATAATATTAAATAAAATTTACCTTGAGATTATAATAATAATTTTTTAAAACATAAAATTTAAAGTCTTATTAATTAAAAATGGCTTTAAAAGTAAAGATATTATTTTCTTAATTTTTTACTTCTTCTTTCTTAAATTATTTAAGTAAATATTAATAAAAGTTTAAATTTTAAACTATATTATAAGAGTCATATATATAAGTTATCTTTTAACTTAAAATCTAATATTATATATAATTTATATAAATATAAATTTGTATTTTACAAAAACTCTTATTTTAATTAAATTAAATATTAATATTATAAGTTTAAATTTATAAATTTATAATATAATTTTATATATATTATATAAACTTTATATAACTTAAAATAAGTTATTATAATCTAATTTATATATTTAAACTTTAAAAAACTTTAAAACTAATTTTAATAATTTGAAATAGTAAAAATTATTTCAATTTTTTTTATTATATATATTATATTTCTAAAATATAAAAGACTAAATTATATAATAAAAGTTAAATTTTTATAAACTAAAACTTTATTAATAAATTATTAATAAAAATAGTTATATACTCATATTAAAGTTTTGCTTTTATACTTTTATATATATAATATAATAAATTAATTTTAATTTCTCTTTATATACTTTAAATTATATATTATTATAAGTTTAAAATAATTTTAAAATTTCTTATATTTTAATTAATAAATTAATAGACCTATTAATAATATTTTTATATTTTTATAAGATAATTATAAAATTTAACTAAAGTTTAATACATAGCTTAAATTTTATATTTAATACTCTATTAGTTCTTAAGTTATTAAGTTATAAAAAGTAGGTATTTTAGGTATAAAATTTATTAAAACCTCTTTATTAAAAACTAATATATTAGAGAAATATATATTATATTAGTCTATTAACTAGAAGCTTTATATAACTTATATTATTATTTAAGCTATTAAATTATTAGAAACTAATATTAAGATATTTAATAAATATATTTAATAGTAAATTAAAAATATTATTAAAGAACTAAGATTTATAAAGCTAGTAAAGGAATTCTTATATTTAATTATTTTTTATAAATATTTTATTTATAAATAATAGAAATTTCTTTTTCTAAATTAGATATATTCTAGTTCTAGTAAATAGAACTAAATATACTAATATTATTTACTAGTGCTTTACTAAATACAAGAGAATTATTAAAAGTATTCTAGCTTTAGAACTTTATAATATAATTCACGGCTTTAATATAGGTATTTTAATTAAATCTATAATTAATAAAGTACTAGAAATAGAACTATTACTAGTTATTTATATGAATTCGAAGTTATTATATAAATACCTTATTAAATTAAGTATTACTCGAGAGAAATATCTAATAATTAATATAATATACTTTTATTAGATTTATAAATAACAAGAAATTATAAAAGTTAAATAAATTAAAGAAAAATCGAATTCTATTAATTCTATAATAAAATTAAAGCTATTAAATACTCTCAAATACTTTATTAATACAAATATTATATAGTTAAATATAAATAAAGCAAGAAATAAATATATAAAATAAAAAGAAATAAATATATTAAATAAGAAAATATTATAAAAAGAGAAATTATATATAAAAGGCTATAGCCTTTAATATATAACTAAAACCTCAAAAATAATATAAATATATAAAGTATTTAAGAAATCTAATACTAGGCCGAATTAGGAAATTAGTATATAATTAGAGGAAAATACTATTTTTCGCGTTTTTAAAAAGGTTCTAATATTAGTATAATTATTTTTTTATAAGTTATATATATAATTACGAGATTCGAGAAACGGGATATAAATAATAAAATATAAATAACGGGATATAAAATACGAGATATAGTTATATAACCTTATATCCTATAAATAATTCAATTAATAAACTAGACCTTATTAGGCTTAGTAAATTTAGGAATTATATATTAATATTATAATATTATAATTCTTATAGTAAAGTATTTAAAAGTTATTTATATAAAAAATAATAAAGATTTTATAATTTATATTTATATAAATATAAGGCTTTATTAAAACTAAAAAATTTAATTTTCTTAAAAGTATTTATTTAGTATTTATATTATAAAATAAAAAAGTTTTATAATCTATATAAACCTTACTTTATTTTTATTATATAGCCTAATATCTTGAAATTATTTAATAGCTTATATAGTATTATAAATTTATTAAAAAAAATTTATATTAAGAAATATATTTATAATATTAAATTATTTTATTTTAAATTAAAATAAGCTATAATTATATTAGTTATTACGAGCCAGGCCTTTATATAAAGAAAACTAGTAATTTAATTAATTAAACAGAATTCTTTAAAGAAAAAAATAAGAAAAAAATAAGAAAAAGTAAAACTATATTTCCTAAAATATTTAAGCTTTCTAAGTAATTATTATAATAAAAATTACTAATTCGGGACTAGTATAATTACTTTATTTAGTTAGAATCTATATACTTATTTCCTAAAGCTCTTTTTTAACTAGTTTAATTAACTTTTTATTATTAATATAATTCTCTATTTTATAATCTTTATATATATTAGTTATAAGCCCGGCCTTATATTAATAAGCTTCTCGAATAGTATATTATAAAGAGTATTTAAGAGCTTATTTAGTTATTTCTTTGAAAATTATACTTTAATTTATATTTCTATTATTAATTAATTAATAGGAACTATTATTATAATTCCTACTATTTCTATAAGCTTAATTATAATTATATTAGAAGCTATAGTTAAGATTATTATCCTAAAGAACTATAGTTCCTAGATAGACTAGTTTAATACTTTTTATAAAATAGCTAGTAATAAGAATATCTGAAATAAAATTAATGTATTTAATAATAAAATAATTAAAACAAATATAGTAGCTCTTTCTAGGCCTTTCTCTATAATTAATAAGCTTATATTAAAAGAAATAAAGAATTACTATACTGGATATTAAATTAAAGCAAAGAATTAAAATAAAAATACTCGATCTATAATTAAGAAAGAATTAAAACCAGGATTTTTATTATTTATAATATTCGGGAATATTAGAAACTATTATTTAGTACTCTTATAAGACTATAAGATTAAGAAACTAGACTAGATAAACAAGCTAGTATACTATTATATAATTAGATAATGGCTTTATTAAACTATTAATACTAAGATTCTTATAAATTCTATTTTAGGATTTTAAAAAAAATAGAGCTCTATTTATAAGATTCTTAAAGCTTTATTAATAAAATACGGTCTATAAATATAATACAAATTACTATTATTTAAAGAATATATAGCTCTGTTTTAATATAAGTAAATAAAGAAAAAATAAACCTAAAGTACTAGTTTACTAATTAGGAAAAGATATTTAATTATATTAAAGCTTTTAAAATTACTGAAATTAAATATAGTTTAGTAATAATTAAGTTCTTAATAGTTTTCTAGTAAAAACTCTTACTAATCTAGGTAATAGAATAGTTTAATAATTTGTATAATAAAAACAAACTAAAGCTTCTAATTCTTATATTCGAATAATATAGCCAGGTATTTAATTAAATTATTTTAGAAAATTAGAAAATTAAATATTTAGAAGCTCTTATAATTTTTATTATATTCGGGAATTGAACTAGTAAAGAATTAAATAATAAATCCGATTCAGATAAATAAAAGTACTATAAATATTCTTATAAGAGTTTTAAGAACTTATTTAGCTATATTACTATAGAAATTATAATTATTAAATTAAATAAAACTTGAATAAAATTCAAGTCTAATAAAAAATAAATCGGAAAAATCCGGAAAAGATTTTTAATTAAATATTAGAAGAATCTAAAACTTTAGTTAAAAAAGAAATATAATATAAAAATTACTAAAAAATAAGCTATAAAGAAACTAATACCCGGTATTAGTTCTCAAAAAGAGCCTAAAATATCCGGAATCTAATATTCTAGGAACTTTAATACTATTCTAATAAATCTAATACTTATAATCCAGAGTTTAAATTAAGAAATTTATATAATACTCGATTTCCTAAAATATTTGCTTTTTTAAAATACCTTATTAAATAATTGCAATATTATATATTTAATTAATAATAAAAATCTAATTAATTCTAATACTTTTATTAAAGCGAAAATTAATAATTATATAAAAATAGAAATAACTAGTTTTATAATTACTAGATATAAATATTTATATAATTAAAAATATAATTAATAAACTTATAAAATTATAAATTAAAGATTTAATTCTTTATAATATTATAGTTATTAAAGAATTTTATATAAATATTATTTCTAAAGCTTGTCTAGTAAAAAAAAAAAACTTAATATTATAAATATAATCTTATAATTAGATTAGGAAATTATAAAAAAATATAATATTAATATAACTAAAATATAGATTTAATTTAGTTTTCCTTAAATATAAGCCGCTTTTTATTTGTTTTAATATTCTATTCGAGATTTCTATTAGTACTAGTAATATATTTATATTTCTAATATTTAAATATATAATTAGAGCTTAATATAAGAAATTAAGGAA